GATCGGGATACATCTTGGCAAAACGGAAGAAAGACTTTCGCAGCGGTCGGCCCATCATCTCATTCGTCGATTCCCCGTTCCGACCAATGCTCAACATTCTTGCCAGACTCATCTTTCAACTTATTCCAACCGCCTGTCCAAATCACTTTGCCACAGGAGATGTCTACACACTGCTCTCGATCTTAAAATCTGCACCTGTCGACGCAGAGTTGATCCTGGTCAATCAAGATCTTGCCGGTTTCTTCACCAGTATTGACCAAGACCGGTTCATCAGATCCTGGTTTATGCTCCTTGACTTCCTTCGGCCCAAGATGAATGTCTTTGACGGAGAAGCCTTCTCTATCTACCCAGGCAAATCCAACAACCCGGGTGACATCATCAAAGGACGCACGTTCCGTCGTCTCAATGTCACTCGGAAAATCGTCATCGGCGATGTTCCAGACCTGACAAAATCAGCGCTGAACATGCAGACCTTCGCATTGGGTCAGAGATGTGTTCGTCAAAGCCGTGGAAGCCCCATGGGCAGTCCTCTCTCTCCAGCTCTCTGTCTCATGGTTGTATCCATCAGCGAACAGATTTGGCATAACACCTTCCACCTACTTCTTTCCAATCACCACTTGTTCATTCGACATGTCCGCTATGTCGACAACCGTCTCATTTTCGGAGATAAACGCCTCACCACATTTGCACCATACGAGGTCCTCTTGGATGACGGATTCTATGGAAAACCGATCATCCTCGAAACAGAACCAGATCAAGAATTCCTCGGCTTCATGCTTGAAACAAAGCCATTCGAACTGATTTATCAAGGCCCGACCAATATCTCTCAAGTCCTCTCACCATTCTCAGCTTCCCCTCCTCAAGTTCTCCTCAGTGGCTTTCGCTCGCGATGTCACATTGTCATCAAAGGAGCCTTCCCGCAATTTCGTGTCCAACAAGGTCTTTCGCAGTTAATTCACTTGTACACTCGCGCTGGATTTCCCAATGAGGAACTCCAGACAATTTCGAACCAACTCCTGACTCAGCATCAGAACTTGTCACCTGCCGCTAAAATACAGGGCTACAGCATGCTGACATTCAACTCTCTACATTCCTCGTTGTCGGTGATGTGAGTTGCCTTGTTTGTGGGTTTTTTGGTTTTGTTTGGTTTTCCTTCTCTTGTTTGTGGTGTTGGTTTTTGTCTTGTGTTTCTATGTTAGCTTCTTGGCTCAACCATCGCCCTGAACTTTCTTCTTTTCCTTGGATTCCCTGATGGATCATGCTCAAGGGCGTGCGTTTCACCACCACCTGGCTCGGGCAATTATGCACCTCAACCATTTGGCGGGGCTCTTACCCTTCTTCGAGCCATCCATTGAATATGAAGACTCCTGGCATGCCTCCGGCATATTTCCGCCTTGAACGTCCAGCTTCCAGGGGGTTGCACACTTTTGTTCCTTTACCAACATCAGGGCCCCCTCCAACCATGGTGTCACATGGAGGCATCCCGTCCCACATGGTGATCAATCCCGAACCAAATCTTCGTCCTATGCCGGCACGTCCTCCACCAAACAGTGAACCCATGCTCACTACCGGGTCACCCCACCTTCCAATCTCCATGTCAGATCCAGGTCCAGATCCAACTCCGGGTACCACGGCAGTTGTGGAACATCCTCGTTCGAACACTCGAACTACAATCCCAGTCCCAGCCCGGTCTAAACAAAGGGTGTCCTCTTCGATTGACCCACAACCAAAAAAGAAACAAAAAGGTGAGTCTTTTCCGGATTCACGACTAACACCAAATCCCAGCCTTAGTCATTCGGACTCATTACCTCTCCCATCCGATGTACCATCAGGTGGTCCAAACTCCGATGACACAGATGGCGATGCAGCATCTGGCGCTGCTTCTACTCATCCCGCTGTCGATGCATCCGCATCTTTGAGGCGACATATGGAAGATGCCATCAACTACCACCGTGTCACAACTGAAACCCTGTCTCCACTGCTCCACCAAGGACTTCCACGATCACGTTGACACCAAACCCAGAAGCTCCACCGTCTCCAACGATACGTATCCTCCAACCAACCTCAACAGACCCACCTCGAGATCCACCCTTTCGACCTTGGACTAACGCTGACGATCAAGAACTGATCAGCATGAAGCAGGACACAAAGTCCCGCCCGTCGTGGAAGACGATTGGAGCCAGACTTCATCGTGAACCTCATGTATGTAAGCTGAGATGGGGCATTTTGAAACAAACACCGGGCGTCATGGACCAACACGGTCGCATGAATCCACCTCGCGAACCAGAGGCGGAAGATTGATCACATCATTATTTCCAGCAATGCCGGAAAAAATGAATATGCTTTGTTTTTTGCTTGTTGATGCTTCCCAGGTCTTTCGTCCTTTCCTTCGTTGTGTTCTCGCTTTTCTTGTTTTTTGTTGCCTCTGGCCTTTGTTCCCTGTCTCATCCATGTCTTTCCTTAGCTAATATGGCTCATTCATCCTCTCGCAGTCGAACCGTTCCAGAACGCTCTCGTTCACGGGACAACCCTATGTGGCAAAATAGCTGGCATTATCATCCATGGCCAGAATCACCTCCTGCTCCTCGACTCAGGACAGTTTTGGCAATCGTGGATCTGCAATCAGTTCGTCCACTCATGAACAAGACTCATGATGAGTCGATGGCTGCCACGACCTGCGAGGTTCTCCCTCGCCTCAGCAGAGTCGAAGAACGAGCTCTGTTCACCTACAATGTCTTGCTCACCACCCATCGCTATTGGAAACCTTCACGGTGTACAACCTGTTGTACTGCATCAGCCAACATATCTTGTACACCTGGGATCGTTATTTACCTCTGTCTTCCATGGACATCAGGTGGCAAGACGACACTGGAGACACTTTCGCTCTTCGTGAGGAGGACCGGCTTGTGACATACCTCCATGAATATCGCCCTCACTGGACTGAGGGCCAAGAACATAGCGAGATTTTGCCGAACGATATTCAAGCATTTACATCTCACATTCAGCCCTACATCATGCGACTGAGTTGCCATGAGGCTCTTTCTAACCGAAACATGCTTCCTTGAGACCAAAAAAGTCATACCGCTCGGACGTCTCACGTCGAACTGTCGTGGTGTTCCCTAGGGTGGAAATTCTCCTCATTTTCATTTTCATTTTCATTTCCTTTCAATTTCTTCTTCTAGTTCTTGGCTCCAGCTGTATCATGACCAAACGTGATTCCCTCATTGCTGGTTTCACTCCTCCTCCCATTCCGATGAGCATGCCGCGTCGCCATTCTCGCTCTCATGGACACCCCAGCAGCAGTGCCGCTCCATCCGACTCTGGTCATCTCCATCTCAGTGTCACTGACCTCATTGATCCCGTTGCTCGGTACCCTTCTCGTCATGAAGATGCTAGTACCCATTCTTCTCAGCATGGGTACTCGACTGAAGCTCCAGCAGTACCACTTCCCGCTTCCGGTGATCATCAGACTCCGATTGCTCCCAGACAAGAAGAAGCGTTTCCTCTCCAGAGAGAGATGTCAGAACAACGTCGTCAGCTTCATGCACATTACTTTACGGAAGTACGAGTGCCCAATTCCGATAGCTCTCAGCCAGATCTCCGTCGCCTTATGGTGACTGAAGTCGATCGATTTGGAACTCATCGCAATAGGCAGCCGGAGTTCTTCTTCAACGGTATCATTGGTCACATCCGTGCTGATCAAAACGGATGGATAGATTCTTGGGAACAATCCACCCAGCTTGCCAATTACTGGCGTCGGCATTTCCAGATTCCGGAAGTGCCCCAAGCGGGACACTGGCAACACTACCCGCAAGAGTTCAACAGCGGGAACCAAGCTGAAGAGAGCCAAGACGACATGTCAAACATGGACGACACAGATTCTCTGGTGGTCCACACCGAATCAGCTTCGGCACCGATTCAGATCCACCAGCTGGCCACCGTTCTTTGGAACATCCTCCACAATGACAGAGAGGCCAACCTGGCCATCCTCGAGAAATTGGAGAATCCAAGCACGGACCCAATCCAGATTTTCTCGGCAGCGGACTTGGCTCACCTTGCTAGCCATCTGGCTCAGACGGCTCACCAGTTGTCGCAACAAGCGGCACAGATGGAGGCGCTCTCCGACATCAGTGATTAAGTCTGACATCCTCGAGTAGCAAGGCCTTCTGAGCAACTCGGATAATTCAACTGCTGATTTCTTCCCTGTATTTTGATTTTGCGATAATCGCTATTCCTGCTTCAGGGCCCAGATAAGAGCTTCACAATTGACTCCGCAGTTGCCAAAAATCAGCCTCGCGGCAGCCAGGCGTGTGTGTGTGGACCATCTGAAAAGATGTAAAACTTCTACTTTTTGTGATCTCAATTTTGTTTGGAATTTTAACATTTGCAAAACAATGCAGGGGGCACAGGTGTGACTCTGGTTCCTGTGCCAACGAAGACGGCCAGAAGTCACAGTGATATCAAAGGGAGACGTCCCTTTGACGTACCTGCTTCAAATTTCATTTTCATGTCAATTTTCTGCTATGGGACGTGGCTAACCCAAGAACCACCAAGCCGTTTCAAACAACTACCCTGTTTTCCAATTTCTCGTTTTGCACGGTTTTCGCAATCTGAAAGAGCTGCTTCAGAACCTTTAGAACCTTCGAGCAAGGACGTAGAAAGATTTCCTTCGCATTTTTCTCGTGTCCAATCATCCTTATCTAGCCTGTCAGGTTTTACTGGATTGTTTATGCACGTGAGACGCATTCCACATCAGTAATTCGAAAAAATGTTTCTGAGCAAGTGTGTGTGTCTATATATGTAAATAACATGTGTATATATATATATATATGATATACATGTGTACAAACCCAAACATATATTTATGCATATGCTAGTATCAATGAAACTAATTGGAGGGTTGCAGAAGAGTCATTGGGTGGGGAAGACACTGGGAAGACTGCAGTATGACATCAGTTGTTTCTTTTGCATGTCCGCACGAAACCTCTTGCTTTGCCCAGGAAATACTCTGCCATTGATTGTGTCAATGAATTCCTGCGTGAGCAGTCTGGTCTATCGAGCGAGGCCGGGTCAGAAACACCTGGCATATGTGGTATCAAACATGTATCAAATGGATGTGAGAGCCGGCCTATGAGCAACTCAAGCAATGCTTCCTCTGACTCTTTCCTTGATTGCTATTCTTTGAATTGAGTGGTCAGAGTGCCCTGATTCCCAAGCCTGCAATGCTTTGGTTTAGGATGATTTCGGTTGAAGTAACGTATGTGTGCTTGCAGTGCTTGGCAAATATTGACCGACATGAAGTGTTTGTTCTGAGCAAGGAAGTTCATCATCATTTCCATGGTTTTGACACTTGACAAACTCATCAAACTCCTTTTGCCAGGAGTTGGATCCCTATCTCTTCAATTACTCCGGGCATGATGCCATCAATCACCTCTTCGAGGAGCGGCTGTGGACCACCAGCTTTTCATGGCAAGATCCGGTGAAATCACTGGAGTTGAACACATGGATGCGCCCCACAGACCTTGAAATGCCGGAGCTTGGGAGCCTTAAAAGTTGGGTAACATTGATATGACATTGATATGATATGAAGGAACTGATCCCCCTGAAGAAAAAGTACCTACACGCTCCATGGTTCCGCGACAGGTCAGTTCTGGCCTTGATTCGCTGGTCCTGGGCGAGGCTGGAAAAACATCCCAACATTGCACTTGGGCATCGAATGTAGCTGATGACATTGAGACTGTTTGAGAATTCTTAATCTCTGACTGTATGCAACGGCTATATAATGATGTTATATATATATATTCACATGAATTATATGCATTTTTGGTTGAAACGATTTTGCCAAACGTCTCCACACCTCACCGGTGCTTCAAGTGTTGTAAGCTGAGGATGCAAAATGGATAGGACTGTTGTGACAGTTCTGAATGGTATGTATGTAAACTGTACCAGGTGTGTTCAACTGAAACGTTCGACCTTTGTCACACCGTTCCTCAGTGTTCCCCGTTGAGTAATTGAATAGGATGGGTAGAAAGCCAAGCTCTTACACCATAACTTACACCTCATACAGCAATTATAATTGATCTGGGACTTTGTAATCCGAAGGACGTGGGTGAATTTCACCTTCCATTTTGGTTCCAACGAGTGATCCAAGTAGAGAGCGTAGAGAGGGTACCGGTCAGTTCCAACGCAGATTTGTGTCATCTCAATGCTTCTTTGATGGTCTACAACTGGGTGCTTTTATGGCGAGCCATAGGCACCATAGGCATCCTGTTCTAGGATTTGTCAAAAAACATGCTTTACCATCTATTTGAAGTCTCGCTCTGCAGCTTTTGGTTCAAGCAGGTGTTTTGACATAAAGACACTGACTAGAAGAGCATGCATTAAGCACTCAGTCGAGCAACCGTTGAGTTTATTGATCAAAACCAATGTTGAAAAGGGACAACCCATCACGACATGTGCCAGTGTCTGATATCATGCTAGACAGCGCAAGGTCTTGTCAATGTGGATTGGGTTGGCTTCTTGGCTCCACAAAACTGGTTTGGCGAGTTCAGGACGTAGGTCTGGGGTCAGGGTTCGAGCAGAAACACTTAGCGGCTAAGCAAGGAAAGTTCCACTACTATCTGAGTCTCAGCAATTCGAAGGACAGGTTATGTACTTATGAGAATTATTCCATGGTTACTAAATTTGTCACTGGCCATGTCTCCCGGCATCGAGCTTTTCTGCTTCATTCTTGCTTACTTGACCTGGCAAACTGACGGGGCGCTAAATGTCGAGCAAGTGCTTGAAGATGCTGTCTTACGATTGCGGGAAAGGGTTTATATTTCAGACGGGCTGGTGTACAAAGCTCCCTCTGCAGCCTGTGACTCTCTGGCAGATGGCCCTCACTGCCCAGATTCTCCAACTTCAGCAGTGACAGATGGAATTTTCTCCACCCGACTCTTGTCGTCATCCAATGGAGGTGAAATGCTTGATGAGTACTTCCTGGGAGCGAGTCTGAAGGAAGTGCAAACGCAACGGACTCAACGAAGTAAACCTCAGGTAAAAGCTCCCAGCCGTGTTGACCGGGGCAGTTTGAAGCGGGGCCGTTCTGCATTGCTGTCCTTTCGAGGGATGCAACCCTTTCTTTCCAAACATTTTCTGCCCAACTTCGCAGGTGTTCGGCGTTTGGGGCAGGGGATTCCCTTTCAAGTGCACTGGGAAGGTCCCTGGGAGTTGGTCCCCAATCCCAGCTTTGAGAACGACCAGGTGAAGCGTGGCCGCTTCGTAGCTCAGTTACAGGGCCCAGTGGGGAAAATCCGCTTCGGACGGCCTGTGAGTCTGCAATCTGTGGACCTCTGCCGTGGTCCCAAGGAAAGCTGTGCCATTCCAACAGCGGTGAAACCACCAACACCTTTGGTGGTGAAAGGTCGACATGCTGGGGCTGAAGTATTTAATGAGGTCGTTCCGAATTGGGACCTGCGAACCTACGTCAATGATGTGGCGTTCTTTGCTTTGACCTCAACAGAATTGGTGGATGAAATCGTGTTTATCATGGCTGAATGTATACTCATTGGAGCCATCCAGTTGTCTTTTACTTCAAACCCGCAGAAGCTGGACCTTGATGTAGATCCACAACAAAGGGAAGTTCCTCTGTATCTCACAATGCGAGAAGGCTGGCATGCTTCTGGTTGGGAAGAGATTGAATTTCGAATTCCCTCAGCAGTACATGATTTGCCTGTTTGGAATCTCAATGAAGTTTCATCCAGGCGATTGTCAATAAGACCAGGGGTGTTTGAGCTGCCTCCACAGTCTGCTGCAGATGCACCCTTTCCCGGCCTGAGCGATTTCGCTGCAACAGCTGAGAAAGAGGAGGAGCAAGAACTCCTGGAGCAAGTTGCAGATGTTTCCGGCGATGATAAAACCAAAATTAGTGTTGGACCAGAGCCAATAGCAATGCCCAGTGACTTAGAGGAGATCGTGGACACGGGCACACCTTTGCAGGATATCGTTGATGTGGCATTGGCTTACCAGCGAAATGCATCCGTTCTGATTTCTCTGATTTCAGATCAGTTGGAACTGAATCCTGAACTGCTTCTGGGCTTGGATCGGAGGCTGGTGAATGATGAGTTGTTGCGTCTGCTGGAAGCGATGTTAGAAGCTTTGGAGGGAAAAAGAACGGCCAGCGTGGCCCAAACCCCTTCCGAAATGACCGATTTCCTCTGGCGACAGTTGAACTTAGATATCTTGGATACGCTGTTCCTACGCTACCATAGCTGGCGCTATCACGATGCCCTCAGGACTGAGCAGACCACTGGCATCGGGATGGAAATCGACTTGGAGGGTTTGGATTTAGATCAGTCGCCTTGCTGAAGACTGAACCTTATTTATTTCACCCACTTTCACCTTTTTTCAATGTTTTTTTGGCCACCCCCCTTTGTCTTTTGAATGAATCCTATGCTATGCCAGTATGATGTTGCTGCGCTAGACCTATACAGTCGGAATCTAGACAACAGTGTTCAACATTGTAATCAATACACAAGTTTAGCATAGTTTAGCTGTATCTCTTTCACAGCATGGAATCCTGGACGCCATAGGCATTTGACCTTGAAGTTGCTGGAACTCATCGACATCACAGAAGGCTTGCTAGCACATCTTTCATCGGAGCAAGGGCCCATCCTGAGTGCCATCATCCCATCCTATATCAACGGGGAGCAGGTGGACGTTCTGGTCCAAGCCCGGCAGTTGGATGATGGCAGTCCTTCCAACGATGTTCGAGTCACAGTTCGGAATGCAGACGGTGTTGAGCTGGGATCGCAGCATACACAGGTCCAGCTGCTGGGAAATGCGGAAGAAATCCGCCGGGCCTTGTTGGCTGGCGCACCAGAGAAAATGGATCGACGAGTGCCATCAATCTGTGATATTTTCGGCACTTTTTTTTCCAGTAGATTCTAATTCCAGTATCTCTTTCGAATTTCTGACAAACATCCAAGCTATCAAGCCATCAGGTTTCACGCAGAAATTTGACCCTGGGGAGTCCACACACCTTGAATTCACCTGACATCCGTAAACATCACCTGTGCGGCATGTGAGGCGCAAATCTTGGCACAGGTGAAAGCCTGCCACGAGCATTGCATTGCCAAGGGCGGACCCGAAGAAGAGGAGCAACCGTGCAGATTGTTGGAAACAGGAACTGCCAGGAAAAATCAAAAAGTTCGTAAAAGCATCACGCGTGAGTTCAGCTTCAGTAGGAATGACTGTTGATAGAGGCTGCACAACCAATCGTGAACTGGTTTTCCAGTGTGCCAGCCTCGAATCAAAACCTATTGTGGATGGAGTGAATTCTGCACTTGACTGTGTAAGGTGAGCTGTGAAGGATTATGTATAATAATTTTCCAAAGAGCCTCTATGTATATAATTATACATATTCCGAAATTGAATATAAGATATTGATAGAATTTGATAGACAGGTATACAGATCTATAGAGACAAGCTGCATGTTGGGCTTGAGGAGAAGGTCCAGGGTGCTGGTGGAAAGATCGTCGCGAAGATGTTGAATGCCGGCATCAGGTGCGGTGCAGTGGATCGCCCTAAAAGCATCTAAAAGCGGTGAGGATTGCAGACAATTTAGTGACCTCTCCGAGAATGGATGGTTTGAAAAATGAAGGTTGAACCTCAAAACTCAAAACAATCGTTATGGTTTATAAGAAATGAATACTGGAGGAATAACTATTACAACTATGGAATCTGGTGACAAAGCCTTGCCCATTCTGCATCCAGGATCGGGAAGCAGGTTCGCACGCGAACAAAGATTGGGAAAGGCCGGCGCCTGAGGGCAGCAGTGTATCGAACAGCTTGGAGTTGACGTTGGCTGTTTGGACTTTGACATGTTGAAGCTCACTTATTTCTTATTCGAGTCGCTTCGCGACGAGTACCGCCCGCACCCCGATTATATGGGAATTGTGCAGGTCAGGGACGACTTTTCGACGTTAAAGAGTATGGTAGTTGGGGATGCGGGGTGAAGAACATGGGCCTACTTGGCCCGGCCAAAGCCGACTGGGGCAGGTACTACTTGTAAATAAATACATAAATAGATACATAAATAAATAAATGCATTTGGAGTTTTGCTTTTCGTGCACGCATTGGCACATCACTGTAGACCCTGTAATAACATTGCTCCCGGACTAAAATCTGGCACGCATCCAGAAACAGGGGTGCCCCTAAAGGGCCCAACTTGGGCCCAAGTCGGACCCAAAGTTGACCCCAAGTTGAGCCCATGTTGCGGACATGTATGGTCGAGAGTGTGAATTTGGTGTGCCGATATGAAAAACCTGCAAATTACCAGTGGGGAATCTCTTTTGCGCGGCTGTCCCGGGCGAACGTGGCCACCCTCCAAGCTGAAGCTGCACCACTGAACTGTATTCATTCGATTCGATGGTTCCTAAACCATCACACCTCGGCACCTTCGGTGTGGGAGGATTCTTGAAATAAAAGTTGGTACTATTGAACTCGACCAAGGCTCTGTCTCGGTATCCAGTGCAGCAGTCGAGCTCATGATGAGCAGGCAATGTGCACAAACTTGTTTGGTGGATGGGTTTGGTGGAGCTACTACGTGGGGCTGCAAGTGAAAGTGTCGACGGCAGGTGTCACTCATATACACTAGCTGTAAAGAAAGTGTTTCTGAAACAAATTTCATGATCTGCAGCAGTAGATCCCACTTTGTTTTATTTTGAGAAACTCCTTGTTGACGGATTAACTTATTCAAAGTGTCAAAGGGCTCACGATGGCTTTGGAGCGGCGTCCCAGCACTCTGCTGCATTAAGTCTGCAGTTCGCAAGCCACCAATCTATGTAATGTTCGATAGAACAACTCCTACGTAGTACTCCCATAGTTGACACGTTCGATCCTGCTGTAGTAGACATATTCTATATCATAGATCTTACAAATGGTTTGTGAGTGCTCACGACAAAGTCTCATGGAATTGGCACTGGCAAGTGGTTTCCCGTACAGCCCGTACAGGTCAATGCAAGACCTGCGAAAACCAGCCAGCAAGGTCCATGCAGCTTGGCAGAAACCAGGCCAGCTAGGCTTGAGGTTTAAAGGAAGTTCTTCCACTCTCTGTTCCAACTTGAACATTCTGTTGAAGAGATGTGTAGGGGTGGATTTAAGATACCCGAGTGATCCGAGTGGCCTGTGATTTCCAGAGCGTATCCAGTTGCCAGCGTAAGTGGCAACATTTGTTCGCAAAGGTGCCCGGATTGGAGTAGTCATTTTGAGCATTGCATCCGTCTACCAAGGTTGGAGTCATTGGTGCTGGCAAAATGTCGAGGCGTCAAGCTCCTCACGGTGCAGTGCTGGAAACGTTGAAAGCTGCAGTAGTTGTGTCCTCAAGGCAGACACATCTATACCAGGACTTTAATATCTAACAGATATTCATCAGATATTCATGGCTTAAGTTCCCTTTTTAATCCTTAAACATGAACTAGATGAACTAATGCCCAACCAACAGCACAGCCAGGCTTTTGCTGCTGGCCCTCTTCAGCAAACATCCAGACATCAAGGTGACCTTGGTCAACCGCTCGGTGGACAAGGCTGGGTTGCTTTTCAAAGACCCAGATGCAGAGTGGGAAAACATGGTAAATAATATGAAGAAATCTGATAAAGCACGATAAACATGACAACCTATGATGAAACATGATGAGTTATGGTTACTTGATAAAGTATGACCAAGTATGACCAAGTATGATGAATTATGATAGATTGTGAAAAATATGATAAAACATGATAAAGTATGATAAATTATGGATAAAGTAAAGTATGATAAAGTATGATAAAGTATGATTATAGCGGGAAAACCCAGGGACATGTGTTTGAAGGGCCGCACTAACGGTTAGCATTTTGTCCTGGGGTGCGGATTTGCAGACACACTCGCGCAATCGTTCATGCTCTGATTTGTTTGTAGATTTTGCAGGCAAGGCTTTGGGTTTCACACAAAAATAGAGACATCTTAGTGACATCTTGCATTAGCCAAAATCTTTTGAAGATTGCAAGAATTTGATACATTCTGTTATACTACGAAATTTCGTATTCTATATATTCTATTTCGTATTTTTTGTATTTTGTTTGCCTTTGATACTTGTTCCAGCTTGTTCATTCCTTCCTCTTCCAGGCTGAGGCAGTTTTGGAAGATGAGCTGGTGAAAGCTCGTGGCGGCAGCAATGCCTCCGTTGCTGGCTCTGATTCTCCTGGGCTTTGGATTGCTGGATGGCAGTAGAGTTGGTCAAAACCAAGTTCCACATAGCTGCGAATTGTTCTATCTATATACAGATGCTCATATCACAGGTACGTATATAGTTTGGTAATCGCTTTTGTCGGAAAGCACGGTACTGCATTTTTAAAAAAAACAAATATCACAGAAAAATATACAGATGCTCATATACGTAGGGATGTAGTACATTTGTATATATATATATACACACACATTCTGCACATGATCTGTCATCTCGCCTAGGTTGCCAGCACGGATGATATGTTTGATGTCATGAAGGAGTGCGATGTGGTCTTCACTGCGACCGGAAGTGAGGCGAGACAGGGCAGAAGTAGAACTTCACCAAAGATTGTCTTATGGGACTCATGGGTCTGAAGAAACCTTTGAGCAGAGAAGAAACCTTTGAAACACGTGTTGTTGCCAGTGGAGTGTCATTGCAAATGATTTTTCATGCAATAAGGATCAGACTGCTGATTGTTTTGTATAGTAGAGCTTCTGGGACTCGGAAAACATGTGAATTCCTGCCCAGATTGTTGGAACCAATCGACAGGTGCCAATCATTCACCCTGAGAATGTGGAAGGACCCTGTGAGCAGAAAACCAGCTCCTTCCAGTGTCATCAAGCTGGGTCAATTCCTGGATTTCCTGAGCAAATTTGGCAAGGTGCTGCTTCGACCATGGACGCTGATGCGAATGGATTGAGTCCAAACATTGGATACACCGGTATAATCCACCAGTTGATCATCAAATTCATCATTACCCTCTGGTAAACTAACATAACTATGGAAAATCACCATTTTTAATGGGAAAATCCACTATAAATGGCCATTTTCAATAGCTATGTTAGTTTACCAGAGGGTAACATCCCCCGAAGTAACATGGACCCTGAGGATGAGCCATTTTTTGGACAGAAAAAATGCTGCCAGGACGTCAACGACCGCTGATGTTGGTGGACATCTCTGTGCCTCTGAACGTCGCCAAAGGCTGTGAAGATGTAGAGAATGCCTGGTTCCCAGTTGCATAATCGGTACAAAGGGATTTAACCTGAAAGAAATGCAGAAAAATCATTGGACATACTGGGAGACATGATCTTTTTATCACGAGATGGCTTTGTCTCAAAATGCAGGATACCCCGACCCCCAAAAAACATTTTTTTTTGATGAGGAACATTATTTATGATAAACCATGGGATTCTGCGGTCCCCGATTTTGCCCACGAAAAAACTCTGAACTGTGTTTCATACGTTTCATGACAAAACTCAAACTGGGGCCCCACATGAGTATGTTTCGATAGGGCCACTGAGAATGCTGAGACATTTGTGTTTGGAGACCTGTACATGTACCTTGTGTCTGATCATGCCAGACCTTGTGTGAGATCTGCTATGGTTTGCTTAGCGGCCTGCGGGCACACTAGCAGTTGAACTGCTTGCAGATGACGCTGGTTGGAACATTCCAGTTTCAACCGACGAATTTCAAGACTTTTGAGGCACTCGAAAGTCAACTTGCAGCCTTGTTTTGGCTGTTAATACCTGCTGGATGACTCAGGTCTTTTCATACTCAGTGGATGATCTGCAGAAGGTCGTCCAGGTGCAGGATTAACCATGATCAACCCCTGTTTTCAATAGCTGGCAGCAGCTGGCCTTGAGTTTGATTTCCATGTAATCACGATGACTTGTTGATGTGATCCCAGACTTCTGCTTGGATTGATGCCTGCATTGACCCTAGGCCAACGCGCAAAAGAGGCAGGCTGAGGTTGAGAAAGCGAAGAAGATCATCAGCCTGGGACTGAGGAACGAGAACTGTAGAGGGACGACTTGGGGAGCGAGTATTGGCTATTCACTTTTATATAGTCTTTAAACCTTTCAATCTTGAATCTTACCCTTGGGCTGCGGGTCTGCAGCATACTGCATCAAGCATTTTTCCGAATCCTCTTGGGGATGGCACAGAATGAGGTACTGAAGTGGGAAAGTTCAAGGTATGGCAGGCGCTTGGCACCATGGCTTGATTTGGCACCACTTTCTGATTCGAAACTCGCGCAACTTCTTCGCTTGGCCAGGCCTCACAGGGGGCTGTGCCGTATTTGGCGGCACTTCAGGCTGGGTAGGGCAGTTTGCCACAGCTTCCAGTTTCTGGAGCTGAAGCAGAGCTTGAGTATCTTGAGGCTTGAGATGCTAAAGCATGAGACTTTGCATGTTGTTTGTAGAGGTTGGAGAAGGTTGTAGAGCGCCTGCTTACTTTGTCCTTGCTCTGCTGTGCAACAAAATCGTAGGTCATGGCGGAGAACGTTCGAAAGATGGAGACAGACAATTTGTCCCACAAGCTCAAGGTGCAGCTTGGAGACAAAAGCAGTGCGATTTTGCTATGAAATGAAGCTAGGGCTAGGGTATAACTGCTTGCTCTGGAAAAGAGATACATTTTTTCTCCAGCTCTTGTTGTTCCATGTCCTCACTGCATCTAGCCACAGTTCCCTCAAAACAAGACCAGCCAGGGCCTTGATGAAAGGGAGCGTGCAGCTGTGGACAAGTTGACTCGACACATTGCCAGAAGCTCAGTGTCATTAAGTTTCATTGTTGGTTTGCCTTCGGTGATAAATCCAACTTTCTTTTGGTGCTACCTCCACCATTTGAATGCTGACAAGTTGATCCTCTTGTGAATAACCAGGTCTTAGGTTTCCAAGTTTTCAATGACATGGGGGGAAGGCTGACCCGGAAACAACTTTGAAGGTCTATACCGGTTATACCGGTGGTTACGAAAGCAGCTTCGCTATTCCTCTGTTGGGACACGCTGCGCATCCATGCTATGGCACGACTGTGTCGACTTGCTCTAGCTGACGCTCTGGTCAGGTTGATCAGATCTTCCGACCCATCTACTACTCCATGAAGGCACAAAGTCAGATGAAGTTTCTGTCTCGCAGGTGATACGGTAAATGGATACAGTGGATACAGCAGTTCATCTATACTTGTACTGTAAACGTGTTTTTCACTTTTCATTCTCTGGCTGTTCTCTATTTGGAGACCTGTTTCGTTTCGAGGGTCGCAACATGTCGCAACGCATCTCAGCATCGTCACAGTTGCTTCACAAAGATAGCCTGATCTTAGAGCCAGGAAGATGAGGCAATGGAGGCGAAGAAGGATAAGATTTGGGCGCTGAAGAGCATGTTGGAAGCTGATGTTTGTTGCATCAAAATACATCATGAAATATTGTGACATCTCAATCGCCAAATGCACTCATCATTACCAAGTCCATGATGTTGAAAGCCAGAACGAAACCGAGAAAGCAGAAGGAAACAGACGAGCTCTGCAGTTCTGCTAGCTGCTAGTGCTTCATTGGCTGAGGTTCAAACTGGATCCTGTCTACAAACGCGGCATCCTCACAGAGGCCAGGAATCTACTTCTCGGAGCTTTAACATGCCTGGCACTGCGAGAAGCCTGAAGACTCCTGAAAACTCTTGAATGCTCTTGATACATCTTGATACATCTTGATACATCTTGATACCAGTTTGATACCTTGGGACACGATACACACCGCTGTCACAACGCCGATTTGAAGAGCCAGCATTGCACCAAAATCAAGGGGTCGGTCGCCAGGGCTCGAAGCCGAAAGCGCAGTTGAACCCCTAACCCGGAGGCAAGGCAGTACATACAGGAAAAAATACTGTATAAAATATAACACATGGAAATATCAAGTGCGATAAAGAAGTGATAAAGTGTGATATTCCAAAACATTCCAAAACATTCCAACACATTCCAAAACATTCCGAAACATTCCAAAACATTCCAAAACATTCCAAGTCCTTGAAATCCTTTCGACTCTTCCAGAAGCGTCTCAGGCGCTCGTTGACAATTCCGATGCGGGTGATGTTTTTTTAGAGCCTGCGCCCTGCCGGCGTAGTTCACCCGAGTCCACCCGAATTGGCCTAGGATAACTAGGTCTGGCAGCCAACTGGCAGCCAAATGATGGCTTCCAATAGATTGATTTGGACGAGGGCTTTTGGTCGTCCTTCTATCAATGCAGGACTTTGTTTCCGTAAAATCCATCAAAAGCCCTTGTCCTCTTTGAAAATAATTCACACCGTACCCCGTAAGTCGGTGAACTCCACATTCGCATCTATTTTTTTTTCTGAATCAAACCTGACTTATGTAGATGTCACTGAGATTCGTCATCCAGATAGAATCAATGCCGAAAAGAGCCAGTCAGAAAATGCTCGGCGCCGCAATGCTCGGCGCCAATGATGGAGCTGTGACTGTCCCCTGTTAGCTGTTGGCACTGTGTCGAAGATGTCAAGGAACACAGGCTGGCATTTTGAGAGAGCCAGTGTCAGATGGCAGAAATGGTCAAAGTTTCTCCAGATCTGAGCAGAGCAAAGACTTGAACGATGGAAAGTAGTCAACTCAATACACTATACTGATCTATACTGTATCATTACACTATACGGACAGTACAGCAGAGTCCTCATCTGCAGTTCCGCATGCCCCAATCATTTGCAAACACCCATGGGTTGGCTCACTATCATGTTGTTTTGAGACTACACGACACAACCCTCATTGGTCAAAGATTCTGATCCGTGTGATCCTCAAAACGAAGATGTTGTTGTCTTGGCAAGTCATGTGAAGTCTGGCTCTGCCCAGTTCTCCCACTTGTGCTTAGCCAAAGCTGCACAAGTCGCGAAGCAGCCGGCATCTTTTGCTCTTTCTTGGTATGGGCCAACTGGAATCATTGGTAGAAAGCGAACACTTATGCACACCTTGTGAATTCTAGATATGAGCACGGTGAACTCTGCACATTCACATGCAATGGCGATGACCCATTGACTAGTGACGCAATGACTAAAGACTAATGGATCCAATATGTCTAACTCCTGCCCCGTTTCGAGCGTCTCGGAATAGGAGCTGAATGGAGCAGAACATGTCATTTGGTTCATTTTTTTCTGTCAAAGCCAGACGCGTTCAAAAGATGCAGATGACTTCGAGTAAAAAAGCAGGATGTGGCCATAATTGGATGGCTTGCAAAATGTTTAGAGACAGGGTTTGATATTATGGCTCTGGATATATGGTATATATATATATATGTATATATATACACACTATATATATATATAATATACATTATACATTATATATATATGTATACACATACAATGCAATACAATACAATAAAGTACAGTACCGTACAGTACAGTTCAATACAATACGCTACAAATACCATACCATACCATACCATACCAATACAATACAATAGAATAGAATACAATTACATTGCATTACATTGCATTACATTGCATTACATTGCATTACATTGCATTGCACTACATTACATTATATTGCATTACACTACATTACACACTACATTCCATTGCATGCATACATACAGATATGATACGTTACAATGTTTCAATGGTTCTTGCGCATGCAATGCAGTGATTTGAATCGCCTCTCTCTTTTGCCTTGGAAGAGTTGGAGTTGGCACATTTTGTGAAGGAGTCTGCGGCCATTCTCAGCTTGGTAACTCGCATGCCTTGCAGAAAGTGGTTACACTGAACTGACTAGAAGTTCAGCATTGCAGATGGTGGACTACACTGAATTCAGCAAGTTTGGATAGCTATTTGACCAACGAAACATATGATGACAAGCTTGCTCTTCATTGAATAAGAATATTCAGACCTTAAACATGCTCTTACTTGTGGAGCCTTGGTCAGCCTTGCTTGTTCGGCCTCCCTGAGCAATGTCATGCTGTGGTATGCAAGCCTTGCATGGGTCACTGGACCTTACTTGTCAGAGATTGAGCAACATGTTGTTTTGAAGCGCCAGAATGAAGACATTTGTTTTCGCTCAACATCAAAGAGAAGCATGTTGATCCTTCTGACGAAAAAGCGAAAGGGCTGTTGCCACTTGTCAGGCCGCAGCAGCTTTCCGCCCGAAGGATAGTTCCCATTGCCTGTCTTGGAACAGTGAGGCTAGCTACTCCTGAAGTGTGACACTTATTGTTTCTCTATTCCCTAGACATTTTTTGTTCCATCGATCGAACAAGAACTCTGAGACTGTTTGACCAGGCAACTCCAAATGTCTACAGTTGGCAGAAGCTGGTTGGCTTTCAAAAACATTATTTGTCGAAACAGCGGGTTCCCCAATATCCATTACTGGAGTTTTCATGAGAATTGATTCAAATGATGATCATTTTAGGGGATTCCCCATTGGAGCCAACATCTCGGAGGCGACATTCCTGCGCATCGAGGGGGACTCACCAGCTCCGCTGCTGTGTCGGCAGGTGCTTGGCCTAATCGGGAACGGTATACCTCAAAAAGGCCCTGAGAAACTGGGAAAACTGGTGAGAAGCCTTTGGATCTAAGACCCATTAAATAATTTAGTACATGCGGTTTCTGATTGAGGAACTTGTTCCGAATTGAACCCTCATGTTAGCTCGGCATTGCTGCATTCGTTGAACATTAGGGAGCATCTTTTCCAGCGAAGCTCTTTAGTACTGGTCCCCCAAAGTGGGTATGGAGCCATGTTTTACCAGGTCAACACCGGTGTCATTTTTGGCCCAGTCTCATTTCCTTGCTGCTTGAGGCAGTCACCCCAGATGGTTTCCGCTGGGGAAGCTTGGAAGCATGGGGGGGAAGTTGCAAAATCCTTCGGCTGCACGTTTTTGGCGATACTCGCAAAGCAGTAAAACATGTAAAATCCAACTTACCTGTTTGGGAAAAGAGCAACAGACAAGCACCCTCCTTGCAAGGTTACCGAGCAGGGAATGGCACCTTCATCTCGGTCGTCGGTGGTGAGAAAGGCATGGTGTGCTTGAACAGAGACCAAACGAAACAAAGGGTAAGTTGCAAGTGGAACTACTCCATTGGAGCTGCACAAGATTCGACAAGAGGGCACGCAAATTTCTGGATATTCTCGGCAATCAGTCTTCAGATTTAAACCTTGTGTAGCAAATGTAGCAGTGAGAGAGCATGTGAGTTTGTTTTCATTTCGTCGCAAGACAGTGGTCATTTGAAGATTCAGAAGAGTAGTATGCTGTCGGCTCCAAGCCCTAGTGTAATTCTTTTGCCAGGTTTGCTGAAACATGCTTCCCAAACTCAGAGTTCTTAATCCCAATCAAGTTGTGCAAACAGATGCAGTATCCCTCATTTTGGGCTGGGAACGCAGCTTTTACAGCAAGAAACAGCACACCAGTCAACTGCATCACCAGCCAATACACCTTTCAATCCATTTGATCCCACGCGCAGCGTAAACATGTCCACTTTGCCAGCTCAACAGCCAAGCTGTGTGGATGGCCGATGACAGGTGCCCCAAAGAATGGGCCTCTGGGTCGTTACCGCGAGCTGCTGCACTTGAGCCCTACAGAAGACTTTGTATTGGCAGTGCTGAGCTTTGATCCATTTGCATTCTTGGACAAATCCTACTGCGATGTATCTGCCTTGGGATGTGCTATGCTCAGCCGTTTGTTGAAGAAAGCTCAGCAGAAACTAGCACCAGAAAAATCTGAAGCCTCCCCTGGCGATGCACTGACTGATGGATGGGGTGATGGATGGGGTGACCTGGACATCAGCGTCGATGGCCTGGAAACGACCCAGATAGATACCTCTGTGAACTCAACAGGTCCAACAGGTCTATTGGAACGTGTAAAGTGTCAATTGAGACGTTTGCATGTGCTGGAGGCAATACTCAAGGAAGCGGATGAAACTCCAGATGGACTTGATGTGACTTGGACAGAGTTCCGAGAGATGGATGAGGATGCCTTGTGCAGCCTTGCAAGTATGCTGGCAGCCAGGCAATCTATTTCTGCACTGGAGGCCCTGTTCATACAAGAGGAACATTTCATAGCCTCCCATTGGGAAACAGTCCTTGACGCACTTCCAGAAACCGCAGAGGTTTCCGCAGTGAAGAACTTGCTTCCATCATCCAAGGGTGGTGCAGCCTTGAAAGTGGCCAATGCAGCAGATTGGTATATGGAACGGGCCTTGAACATTGTGGATCTCACAGGTTTGTGCAGAATTGCCATGGAACTACTGGAATTTGCTATCTGCAGCGAGCAGGGCCTTGAATGGCCTGAGAGAAGCGCGTCAATGCCACGCACAGAAGAGCTTCCATTGCTGCAAAAGAAATCTCAGACTTTACCCCGACTTTATGGTATGTTTTGCTTGTGTGAGGAATATCAGCTCTACTTGCAGGCCAGTCATCAGGAGATGGTGGACTCTGGGTGGCCACTGGAAGAGCCTCCACCTGTGCAGTCCTTGGTTCGCTTCCTGGATTTTTGTGAGTTGCCAGCGCCACAGCGTGCACGACTGCTGCTGAAGCGCAGTCGTGCTTCCACTGTGGTGGAGGACATCCATCGGTGGATGTTGATATCTGTGGATCTGCAGGACACCATGGAGATCCCTGGGGAGTCCGTGGCTGCGCGGCTGAGTCGTGCCTCTCTAAGTGGTCCCAAAACCGAGGAGACCTTGACCAAAGCCTTGTTGGGAAGACTGGGAAGTCATGGTTGGGATCCAGAGCAGTTCAGGATTTTGGCACAGGTGGTACAAGCCTCTAGTCCTGCTTTGCCGAGATCGGAGAGAATCATCAAAGATCACACAGTGCTCATGCAGTTTATTTTCAAATCTGTTTACAGTGAAGATCAAAGATGCCATGCGGCTGATATTTTTGAAAGTGTGGATGCAATGTATGGATGCATTCCGAAGGCAGACTCTGATGCCACAGCAGATGTGGAGATGTGGGCAGATTTTCAAAAACAGGCAGATGAGCTGGAGAAGCATTTGACATGCGTTGAGCTCCTTCTGAAGCATAAACTCAAACTCTCTCTGAGTTTTGCAGACCTTAGAAGTGGTTGCAGCAACGAAAATATGGCAATTCATTCCATGTGGAACTTGTTTCGAGTCCTGGGAACGCACTATCGACCAGCTCTTTTCTGGCGAGGGTTTCAGCAAGAGCTTTTCTACCTTCATACGCATGCATTTGCTGCCGTATCAATGAATTCCGTGTATGACATGTATGTCCGCTGTTTGGTAGACCAGGACCATGTAGAAGTCCTGAATGGAGTGATCGAAAATTGGATGCTTTGTTGTGGTGATGTGGCCCTTGGCTCATTGGTCGTTTTGGCACAGGAACTTGTGAACTGCAGTCCTTCACTCCGCCACGCGACCCTGGAAAAGGCTACCCGGCTGCTGAAATGTGTCCAATCGCCGCAGGCGTCTGAGGAGCTTGACTTCATCAAGGCATGTGAACTTCTGCATGATTTGCTTTGGCGCAAGCCCAAGCGCACCCTGCGCTGGGTACAATCGGCAGTGCAAGATATCACGAGTGGTCAAGCCCTCGTGAATCTTTCGCATGAAATGAGGAATAATTTGAATAACCTTTCGAAGATTGGAGGGAAAGCACAGCGTGAACAGCGCGAGGTGTCAGCCCCTGCTACATTTTCTTCGATCGAAGGATTTTGCATTGAAACACCAGTGCAGTTGCGGCTGCGAATTGGTCAGCCACTCCGCATTGTAACAGATTTGCTGGAGTTCAATCCTCCGATCTTGTTGGAGTCCGAAGACTTGCAGAAATTCTGCTCCTTGATTGGATTGTCAACAAGTTCTCCAAGTTGGGCCGAGGTCATGGCTCTATGTGGTGCAGCCAATTTGCTCTGTGGAGATCGAGTCGAGGCTTTGAGTGTCACTGAAAAACTCTTAGTGAACAAACATCCTGGAGCTTGGAAATTGGCTGTGGCCTTGGCCACTGATGCTGTGGATCAGACCTCTGGAAGTTTGTTGGCAGATGCAGCCCGGGTTTGCTCCGACAAGGACTTGCCAAAGCTGTTGAGCTACTTGGAGGCTGCACCTCCTGCTGAAAATCAGGAGCTGATGTTTTCGTTGGATTTTAGTTTGGATGAAGAGACAGCTTCAGGTTCTTTTGGTGAAAAAGGAGGAAACTCCGAGGAGGCTTGGCAACCCGACTGGACAGCAGCTGCGGGTGCTTCGCCAAGTGGTGTGGCAGAAGCCATCAGAGCGGTGAATTTGTTGGACGAGAATGCAGATTCTGAGGCCTGGGACCGCTGTGCCGATTTGATCGACGGCCTGAGCGGTGAATGTCCTGAAACTGAACCGGATCGGATTGCGGGACAATCTTCAGCTTTGCGGGCACTTTGTGAAGTTTGTCCAGATTTGGATTCGGGAAGCATTGAGGAGTTGGTGCAGCAGATTCTGCACAAAGCATCCACTTCACCCTCAGAGTCACTGGCACTTGCCCGGTCTGTTGCTGGTGTACCCGAGCTGGTGAACCTTGGTGTTACATCTTCAACAGTGGCCTTACATGCAGCCAAAACAGCTGCAACCAGCGAGTCGGACACAGCATCCTTGCTGTTTTGGCTTGATCCCTCAGACAGTCTGCAACTCTTGGAATTTGTCTTGGACCACTGTGAGCGCCAACGGACCCTTGAGGTCATTGCCCTCCTACGTTTCAAGACCAACGATGACCCAGACTTGTTGATGTTGGGGGTAGCTCTGCGACAGGCTGAAGCCTTGACCCTTCTAAGATCTACAGGGAAAACAGAGATGCCACCGCTGCGAATTCATCCAGAACTCTCGATGGAGGAGGTGAAAGGACGGTGGTTGCGGCAACTGGAACATCTCCCAGATTTCCTACCTCTGGCAGAGACCTTACTGGAGACAGGATTTAGTTGATGGGCCATGTTGGATAGGTAGCAGTGAGGACAGAAGGATAAAATGGCAAGCTGTGCATTTCTTGTCGTCGTTGCAATTATGGTTGCGTTTTTCCATGTTTTTCCTTTTGTCTCTGTTCTACATGACATAGAGGAATTCATTTTATCCGAACAAGGAACAAGGACTTGGCAAAAGCGACTGCGCATTTCGACGCCCTTTCATAGTCGCTTGCTTTTCGCCTCTTCATCCCTGCCCAATTCCCTCTCTCTCTCGCTCTAGCTGGGGTTTGCATGCACAAAGCCCTGACAAAAAGCTTGGCACTGTGTTCCATTGCTACACAACCTACTGAGCAGATGGGCAGGCCAGATGGCGGAGAGAGGCAAGGCTGATTTTAAGTCCTGGGAAAAGGCTTGGCAATGACTTTGCCAAAGGGGAATTTTGGTAATTGTGTTGCGACAAAGCCTCATTCACAGTGGTTGACAGTGCTTGACAGTGCGTGAGTGTAGTTTGGAGGCACAACTGATGCTCCTCCAAGCATGGCATCATAAATTCCGGCAGTTCAATAGGTGCTGACATTTGTACACATGTAACAATTTACTACAGAAGACAAGAGCTTGGCAGTTTTCGGATTTATTGATTAGATATGATTAGATATGATTAGATAAGATATGTGCCACAGTAAAAACTCGGGTAAATAGCGCATATTGGGGGATGATCCTACCTCTACTAATGGGGATTTTGAATGGCCATTTTCAGGATTCCTTGGCCATGGCACATATAGCAAGACCAGCGAATGATTTTTCTGATTCTCCCGCTGGGTAGGGTCAGATTCGAAAAAATGATGTGAGCTCATGTGTGTACATGCGCTTGCTATGGACAGTGACTTTAGCAGAACATGACCCCTGAAAGTTGCTGAATGGAGCTTCCAACCGCACTCAGCAGGTCTGCAATTCCCGACCCTACATCCCGACTGCGATGTTTGGTGGCGTGAAGTTTCGGAGGACACTTGCTGTTTAAAGGTTTGAAAGACATGTGGACCTCCCGGACGTGCAAAATGCGCGTTCAAGTGTGATTACTGCAACCTTCAAATGCATTGAGGATGTCATCCCACCAACACCTGAGCTTTCGATGCCCGTGTGGCAGGCGCAGACTGGGAAGCGTTTGCTTATGTTTCTTGGATTTCCTCCATGTCATTTACACACCACGTGCTCTGGTTGTGAGGACTGGTGTTGGTAGGCGTCAAAATCCGGACTCCACAGAAATCCCAAAGGTTCTGTTGTGCTTGGCTGGAAATCGCGAGAGAGCTATTTTGACTTGGAGCCCACAAGCATTTCTCTCATCCTGCATGAAAGTCCTGGTATTTGGCAAACCGGCAAAGCTAAAAGGGCTTTGATATGTAGGCTCTCATCCAAGACTGAGAACTAAGTACTACGAGAATCTACGAGAATGGCGAAAGCGAGAGGCAGAGATTGAGAATAGCTTTGCTTTCTTCAACGTCAGGACGGCAAAGCTCTGACAGTCGATGCCTTCACCTCAGCCCAGTGGCTTCAAGAGTTCATAGAGTTCTTGTTGGAATTTGTTCAGTGCCCTTAGTGCCCTTGTGCACCCACGAGTGAAATCGAGTGAATGCATCGTGGTACACCTCGTGGTAGGCTGGTCTTGTGGGGCTCTGCTTCGTGAGTGGTGTGATGGGCTACATTCTTCTTGAAGGAGTGGGGAGATGATCAGCTCACATCAGCCATTTCCATTTGCGCCGTTCTCCTTTTCAGATGCTTGAGAACTGCACCTTTCACATCCTTTCACCTTTGAGCTCTTGTGATTGAATTCACCCAAGGTGACGTCAGAATGACATGACCAACATGTTTTTTGTATGTCTGCACGAATATGACTCCTTCAATTCTGTCGCCCCTTCTGGATTCTTGCCAGTACTGCTGAATCGCTGCTCGAATTCAAAGGACCCGAGATGGGCAAATGCCACTTTGTCACAGAAGAGGGTCAGCCAAAGGCCACTCAGTCAGCTGAAACATTGGGTTTGGGGTGATGGAATTTCCTGTGGAACGGCCAGGAGAGTTCGGTGTATTCCACATTGAGATCCTTAGAACTAAAACCATTGGCAGAGCTTCCGGTTGGTTTGGAGCCACTTCGATAAAACTGTACTCTAGTCCTCGTCTTTGTGTCTGTGTCCTGAGGGGTGTGTGCTCATGATCTTTGTAAGCTTGCTTCTTGGTTCCAGAATGAGGAAATACCTTTCCATTCTCCATTGGCTGAGTTTGCTCGCACACGAGGTCTTAGCTGGCGGCCTCTTCCACATTCTTCAGGTCGGGTGGACTGTCTCACTCCAAACCTAGAGGATGCGCAGCATGGCAAGTTTCTACCCTACCAATCTAGCACTTCAAGAGATGCTTGTTTCAGATCGCTTTGCAGTCCCTGTTGGAATGGAATCGCATAACTAAGCACACTATTTGGCACAGAGAAGGCACGGCCCAAAGAAGCGCCATGTGCCGAGGCGAGCTGAGTGTCAAGTTTTGACCAAGAGACATGAATCTACGAAGCACATCGGCCATGCAACAGATAAGTTGAATAAGCTGAAACAGATTTTTGAGGACCACTAGAATCACTAGAACATCTCATCATCTCAATCATTGAAGTCTTAACAATTTATCTCCCAGCTGCACTGGAACTGGAACTGCAGTGCAAGGGAGTCCTAACTGCTGAGCGGCTGCGAAGGGACTTGCATGTGCGCCAGCCACTTGGTGTGCTGATGAAAGACAGTGGGACATGAAGGATCAAAATCCGACCGTGAATTCGCAAACTCTTTATTTCACCGCTTCTTGCAGAGGCATTGACCGCTTCTTGGGGGATCCTGATCGAGCGCTACTGGAGAGGGTGGTGAGTGCTGGTAGCGACGGAGCCACAGGCAACATGTTGCGGGAACAATGATGGCACAAGATGAGACAGGTTCTTGTGAGTTCTTGACTGCAGGTCCATGCTGAATATTTGTTTATGAACATTTGGAAAAAATTGGTTGGGTGTAGTTTCTGCCATTTGGATCCATGTGGGGATCTATGCTGGTACAGTTTCACCATAGTTGCATCAAAGTTTATGAATTGTCATGATTAGGGAGAAATGTGCTGTGGCAGGTGGAATCTTCACTCGGCTGTTGGAGGCAAGTGAGATCCTGTGCAAGTTGAGTGGGAAACTGTAGCTGGTCGATGCCGGTTGATGAAGGGCGCGACCCAAGGATTGGCTGGGGCTTTGATCTGATTAGTTAGTTTTCTGATGTTTTATGTTTAGGCCGATTTAGGTCTAGCTATCCCAGCAGATTGGGATTTGCACTTCAGATCTGCGGTTCTCAAACAGCTTTCCTGGGCTCGCAGGGGCTGGAAGCACTGGATGCATGTCAGCTTCTGGAGGTGGCGGCTCTCACACAGTATTTAGGAATTGAGGTGTTGCTTGATTTCAGGGAGCTTGGCGGCCTTGATCCATGTTGAAGATGGAAGGTACTGTCCGCCTCGCGCTTCGTTCCGCATAAGCTCAACATGCTGGGTTTGCATTTGTCCCTCGAGCATCTCGAACGTTGATTTTTGTTCTCATTTTCGTACATTTTCAACATTTGTCCGTTGATCTCAATTGTGCTTTTGTTTTTGCTGTGAAGAAATGGGAGTCGGTATCTCAGGCTACGCAGCCTCCTGGCTGAACGAATGGCAGATGCTCGAGCTGTGGCCAAAGGACAGGGTATGTTACAGGAAGTCGTTGTGCCCAGACATTTCGATTTGGTAATCTCTGGGCACATCTCTATGTGTTGGCGCTTTGCCGGGATCACGATCCTGGAAGGACACACATCGCACCCGGACTTTTCCGCTTGGCGTCGTGATGGTCTCTTGATCAAGGCGTTGGATTTGGCTCAAACATTAATGAATACGATTTGAAGGGTTCATTTGGTTGTTCGACTTAGACATGTTGGATTGCAAATTGTGTGAACTCTCTCATTCTCGCAAAAAAAGGTGCATTGGCTTTCTGTAGTTGTATTGGCACCGTCGTTTACAGGCACTTGAAGGTTCACTTCATGCGGGCTTGTCTATATAAACATCATTGCATCACAGGACTTGGACGATCCGGCGCTTGGTGGAGATGAGGCACAGTTATTCTGGACAGAAATGTGATGCCGCGTAAACTTGGATTTCCTTGCTGACCTTAAAATACGAAGTAGTTTACGGTGTTCTGGCGCTCATCAAAGGTGCGGAAGGGGTGGGGCCAGCCGCCAAGAACTAGAATTTTAACCGCGACAGAAAATATAGGAAATCAAGACATGATAAGGGTTTAAGGGACCCAGTGCTTTCAGAATTTGTTCACCGCAGAACGGTGTTTGCAGTTACCTCATCGTTTCTTTTGAAGGGTGTGCGGCAGCTCTTGCGAATGGTCTCTGGTGAGGAGCCAGGGAAGAGGGCAATAACCTCTCACAATTTTTCTTCAATTCCCACGAGATGCATTTAGTGTAGGAAGCGAGATGACTCTGATTGGACTGCCAAGAGTGCAAATGACATTTCCGATTATTCCTCTTGCCAGGTGTTTTCTGCTTGAATTCCTGCTTCTCATGTACCGCACAAGGACACGCTGGGAATTCCGGAGTTGTTGAATTGGCAGCCAAGGCCTGAAGAAAAGCATTTCCAAACAGACGATCCACCGAAATTGAGGAGCAAAACTTTCAGCAAAACACAGACATCTTTTTGGGTCCAGACAAACACGATGCACGGTATGCAGCCAGGAATGTCACCGTCCAGGCAGGCCGACAGTGTGGCGATTTGTCATAGCCTAATGAACGGTTTTCGGACTCCTGATTTACCCAAGATAAGACACATAGCAACCCCCGAAAAGAATCGGAAAAATAGAACAGTTGGAAACCTGAAGATATATGAGGTAATTACCATCCTGGAAACACTTTTCTATCTTTTTGGGGATTACATGGGATTACTATATATGATAATATGATATAATATGATGTGACGCAACTGGCTAGTGTGGAGAAGGATGTTTGGACATGCATTCCGTCCAAGCTGATGAGAGCATTGTGTTTTCTCGCTCGTCATTTTCTTGTTCAAGACTTGTGCAGCTTCGCAATTTCCGGAATACATTTTTTTTGGGTGGCCCTCTTGTTGGCAGGAAACTCCAGACCCACAGCAGCAGTTTCACATTGACACCTTTGCACCCATTGTCAAGGCCAAGACAAACGGAACATGGACATGAAGGAGAAACATGAATTTATTCATCATTGGACTCTACTTTAGAGCCTTGGCCTTGTGGCCAAAGTGTTTTTACATTCAGTTTTACATTTCGAAGATCTTTAGAGGCAACTCTCCCCACTTTGTGTGCATTTGGACAAAACCTCAATTTGGAGCTTCAATCAGTTCATACCGTTGCCAGGTGTGGGTCTTTCACGATCCACCTGGTGTCAACTTGTCGCAGGCTGAGTAAGCAACGCCATGTACGTCTTGGATCAGATGACAAGATTGCAGGAGATTTCCCATAGGCATTTAAAATCTGTAAAGTAGAGTCAGGAGGAAAGAAGAGGAATAATGCGTCATGTCCCTAAAATTGAAGTTGCCAGGTGTAATGACATGTGATGACTAAATCTCATTCTTGTAGATATGAACATGCCGGACTGCTTGGCAGGGACCCTTGCTCTTCTCTCGGCGAAGTCACCGCAACTCTGAGGCGTTGGCTTGCTGAAGGATCTGTAGGGGAGAAGTAGTTGGTGGGAAGGCGAATCAGTTTATACGCCTGAGTTATTGCTGTCACAACGTTCTTACCCGCTGCACTTCGCCTACCTGCAGGCAAACTTACTAGAACACTGAACTACAGGTGAGATATGAACTCTTTCTCCCGACAATAGCACTTGAACTTGAACACCTCTAGGGGCCTCATCGATGGACCAACGGGCAACACGTCGTTTTGGCAGGCCAAATTGCGCTGGATGCATGCATACGCCCAGCCTCCAGCTTTGGAGGCAAGGATGAGTTCCCCTTTTCCCCAAGCCCCAAGATTTCGCAATGCTGGAGAAACACACAAGACGGTCCCTGCCCAAGTTCCAAATCAGCGTGGTAGTCTGCAGGCACAAGGCGAGCCCTCCTTCCGACTGCGGGGATGCGCTGCGCCCCAAGCAACCGCAAAGTTTCAGCTAAATCACAGCTTATAAGTATAACCGTATAACCTGAAGTTTTTTACCCGACAGCAGGTCGACATGTAAACCACTTTCTCCACAACCAAGGCAGCTGCGACTGAAGCAGCTTTGGATTTTGTTGAAGCAGTAGAAGGCAAGCTTGATATGGAGGCGGGACAGGCTTGAGCCAACATGAAGAGAATTTGGAAGTCCAAGGAATACAATGACACTTTATGACGTTTTATTCTGTAGCTGGCAGGCTGCAGCTGCTGCAGCCCCCGTTCTGCCACTGCCAAACACCCGCACTCTGGTAGTGGCAGATACCAGTGCGTTGCTTGGTCAAATTTAATGAGGTATGGCAGGTCTCAGATGCAGCTGCTGTTGTTGGTTGGAGAGCTGGATTATAAAATAATGCCAATAGCACTCGATAGCCAATTTCGAGCCCTCCAATACAAAAAGGAGCGGGCAATTCAGTGGTGACCCTGTTTCTTGTTAAGCATCCAACTTGAGAAGGTTCACCTTAGCAGCTGCAGTTGGCCTTACTACATGACATTGTTTGCTCCTATGCGAAACGAGGGCAGTTGCAATTCCTCGCCCTCCAACTGGCACACCTTGACATATGCACCCAGTGTCAAGCTTTGGACGACAGTTGCTCCAGCACTGGAAGCCGCTTGACCTTGAGGCTTCACGCCCGTGGTCCAGGTTTGTCCGGCATCACAGCAGTCCAGATAGCCCATGATAGCCCCAATTCCATTGAACATTACTCGACATTACACGACCCTATTGCATCCTATTGCTGCATTTGCTTTGCCCTTTCTGTGAGACATTTCACCCAAGATGACGCGAGTTTGTTCCTTGGTTCGTTTCAAGTTCGTTTCAAGTTCGTTCCTTTCTTCTTCCAACCGCACCAAGGCCTGGCCAAGTGCGTCAGTCCTGGCGTCTGAGTGGCGACAATGATGGTGGCTTGAAGCGCTTGAACCCATACCGGTTGGAGGAGATGCAATCTGCGAAACATATGGGGATGGGTCAATACCTATTAATACCATTTTTAGTGGGATGAACATCCATTTACCAGCTATTTTGATGTTCACCAGGGGTACAAGGTTTTGACACACTGCCATATTAGAATTAGAAAAGCAAAACACATTGCACTATTGTTTGCAACATGGCTTAAGTTGTCTCCGTGCTTTCAGACTTCCCAATGGAATGCAAAGCAGTCGTTGTTCAGATTCGATCTCTTATCAGGAGGATCACGAAGAACTCTGAGGCCAAAGGTGCCCAGGAAAATGTGCAAACGCGATTGCTTCTGTTGGTTAGTCAACGCTTATATAGTCAAAACATGTCAAAGCCAATCTGGGCAAAGACCTTGTCCGCTCATCGATGACTCTCTGGTGTAATAAAGGTCCTGCTATGGAAATATTGCAGACGTTCTTGTCACTCGTTTTTGTCAGTAGATGCTATCCTCAACACTGTCTGGGGTCTCTTGCCAGGGATATACGCCTAATATACGCATTCTTTTCACCTATATATATATTTATATGTATGTATATATATATATATATCTGCTGTTGCCACATCCAAATGACAGACTGGAATGTGAAACTCATGACAAGTGCGGACATTATCGAGTCGCTACAACGAGAACAGTTCCGCTCAGATTAGTGCCTCGACGGACAGGCAGGTACTATCCCCTGTCACTGCCAAACAGTTCTCTGGGGAACAATTTGACGGATCACAAATGGCAGAGGTACTCGTACTTGATGCGTGCGCCTTCGTATCAACCCAAACGCAAGCCCCAACTGCACCAGTTTTCAACACGGGTTGTTTTCCTTGATCTGACGCCATGGAAGATGCCGCCCAAGCTGCCGCAGCTCCTGGGGTTCCTGGGGCTCCTGCTCCAGGGCGCCGTGTATGGCCTCCGCGACGGCAGGTGTTGCCGAATCGCAGCAACATCCCAGCGCAGCAGCGGCTCTTGCCGATGCCAACCTTTGGGCGACAGCCAGTGGCTGTTGTGGCTGGACAGGCCGAATGGGGTTTAGGTTTTGGAGGGCTTGGCCCTGGATTTACCCTGAGATTCTTCAGGCTTCAATGGAATGCACCTTGCATGACATTTGGGTTGGTGCTTGAAGTGCCATGATTCTCGTTGAGCAGCCTTCTTACCTTGGAGATGTGAGGTAGTGGAGGCTTCACCAGAAGGTGCGAAAATAATTCAGGGGCGAATAGTTGGGGCCTCAGATGGAGGGAAAATTAGAGAAACTCTCAGAACGACGAGGACCATCGATCGATTTGCCAAGTTTTTTCCCTTTGTTTTTTTGGTGCCAGTGAGCTCTTCTCGACGTGTTTTCCTGAGGAACGTGGTCCCTGGCATGAGACGTTCTAGGCTTAGTGGATTTGAGATCCCAGATAGTTTATTAATTATCATTTTTATTATTGTTTTGTAACATCTTTTTCATGCTGGGTGAATGCATTTGCGATGATGATTTCAATAATAATAATAATGATGGTAGTGGTAGTGGTAGTGGTAGTGGTAGTGGTAGTGGTAGTGGTAGTGGTAGTGGTAGTGGTAGTGGTAGTGGTAGTGGTAGTGGTAGTGGTAGTGGTAGTAGTGGTAGTAGTAGTAGTTAGTAGTTAGTTTAGTAGTAGTTAGTAGTAGTTAGTAGTAGTTAGTAGTAGTAGTAGTAGTTAGTAGTAGTAGTAGTAGTAGTAGTAGTTAGTAGTAGTTAGTAGTAGTTAGTAGTTAGTAGTTAGTAGTTAGTAGTTAGTAGTTAGTAGTTAGTAGTTAGTAGTTAGTAGGTAGTAGGTAGTAGGTAGTAGTTGGCTGAGCGCGCGCAGAAGGCCGCGTCACGAAACAGTGTTTTTGCTAGTTCACTGCACTGGCGCCACAGCGAGAGCGCATTTTTTCCTTTTTTTTTGTGTTTCGCCCCAGTGAAACCTCTTTTTTTGTCTTTTTTTGTTGTTTTTTTTGGCGTGGTGTTGGTTGGGGGGGTGGGGGGTGGGGGGGGGGGGGGGGATGTAATAACGTTCTTTGGACTTGAACACATCTGGGATGTTATGTCATGAGATCTTTTCTTGGAATTCAACACATCTGGGATGGTACGTCATGAGATCTTTTCTTGGAATTCAACACATCTGGGATGGTACGTCATGAGATCTTTTCTTGGAATTCAACACATCTGGGATGGTACGTCATGAGATCTTTTCTTGGAATTCAACACATCTGGGATGTTATGTCATGAGATCTTTTCTTGGAATTCAACACATCTGGGATGGTACGTCATGAGATCTTTTCTTGGAATTCAACACATCTGGGATGGTATGTCATGAGATCTTTTCTTGGAATTCAACACATCTTTTTCCTTGAATTTCCTGTTTTTTTGAAAACATAAAAAAGGAGATGACGCAACCTTGCATGAGCATGTGTCTTTAGAAGTGTTTCAATGGGCATGGAGAAACCATGCACTTTTGGGAAAGAATCCAAGCGAGGTTCTCGAGCAACTGTCTCGACTTTTTGCAGATTAAAGGTGGATGAAAATAAAAGTCATGCACTGAAGTAAATACACCTGAAAGTGTCTCAACTGAAGTAGTTTTTTTCGACGTCAAAATATGACACGCCAAGATATGAACATGGACATGTGAAGCTGTACATGCATTTCGAATGGCCAGCGTGGAGGATTTGCCATATCACCATTCATACATTTGTGTCAAAACTGAGATGAAAGTGCACGAAACCATACGGCCATCTATGAGCGCCCGACCTAGTAGTTAGTAGTTAGTAGTTAGTAGTTAGTAGTAGTAGTAAGTAGTAGTAAGTAGTAAGTAGTAGTAAGTAGTAGTAGTAGTAGTAGTAGTAGTAGTAGTAGTAGTAGTAGTAGTAGTAGTAGTAGTAGTAGTAGTAGTAGTAGTAGTAGTAGTAGTAGTAGTAGTAGTAGTAGAGTAGTAGTAGTAGTAGTAGTAGTAGTAGTAGTAGTAGTAGTAGTAGTAGTAGTAGTAGTAGTAGTAGTAGTAGTAGTAGTAGTCGTTGTTGTTGTTGTTGCTGTTGGTGTTGGTGCGGGTGTTGTTGTTGTGGTGGTGGTGGTGATGGTGGTGCCGTTCGGACAACGATGATGGTGATCACAGCAACTGCGACTATGAGCCATTGTCATGCTTTGACCATCATGAAGACTACAGCAGAGCACATGACAGCCTTGGTGTTTCAGCGTGCAATATACAGTAGTACGTAGATGTATGTAGGGTGCTTTGCACAACCTTATTTCAAACCTGAGTCATCCATGCCAAGGGACTTGGAGATTCCGGCAGACATGCAACTTGAAAGGGGGAGCACCGGTCAGCTTGCCTGGAGACTTGGAAATTCCATGAAATGTTCCTTCATGAGCGATCAAGGATACAGACTTTCTTCTGAAGTAGTATTTTGCAGCTGGAGAATAAGCGAGAAAACTGCCGGAAATGAGATTGGAATACCGTGGTTCAACCTTTGCTGATGCTGCTGCAAGTCGGGTTCTGCATCTAGAGCCATTTGATTTTGTTATGTTATTCTTTTCAGACATTGCTTGTCTCTTCCCGACTGGTTGCTTATGTTTCTTGGACTTGGCCCCTTCAGTTGAAGCCGACATGTTTGTGTGCGACTTAATTTTCTCAGGTCAGCAAGTACAGAGGACTTGGTCGGACTTTGATGGTGCGCTTTTGCAGGGATGGGCGAGTTGATCATCCATTGACATGATTGCAAAAGAGGACAACAACGTTTGAAGATGCGTTTTGTGATCAACTCCTTGCTCCGTGACACTGTTTTGGGATTTGGTCAGATGATTTCTCCTCCATGATTTGACTTGAGATGCAGCTTGCTTGATGACCTTTTTTCACGTGTTTTTCCCAAGCATTTGTTTGGGATAGAATGCGATTGTTTGCACAATCCAACAGCAGCATGCATATGCTGCATATATGTATACGCGATATAGGCACATGTTTGGTGATGTTGCATTTGATCAATAACTTCTTGGGTATGGCCGCATAGGTAAACTCTGTGGTCATCATCACCTTGTACTTCTTAACAAGTGCTGGAGCTCAGAGAGGAAAAGATGGACCTTGGTATGCTGGAGTTGCAGCTCTTTTGCAGAATGTGTCCGGCAGAAACAACACATTCTATTTAAACTCTACTTGCCAAGTAGCATCTGGAAGTCGCTTGGGTATAATGGTGGCAAAATTTTGTCGGTATGAATTCGGTTCTTGTCAGATTGGCCTTTAACAGCTCTGAAAAAATATGGCTAGTCGGAGTTTTCTCACTCATCTAGACTGAGATTCCTAACATTTTCTAACGCGCACAGTCAGCTTCCCTTCTTTGAGCTGTGAGGTGCTGCGTTTTTCTACTTTTCCAACGATGTCCCCAGGACTGTTTTGACAACTTGGCTTTGAAACAGCTGGGTTTTGTGATGATGTGCTAGCTTTGCAGGACTTGCAACGTGGACTTCAGCTCAACCTTTATTTGGTACGCTTCAAATTTTAGAGACTACACGACAATAATCTTTCAAACTTGGGATTGCTGCAGCTTCTGATCGAGAGATGTTTGTTGCCATTTCAATTGCTTCATATTATGATTCATACGGAAATAGCTGTTGTTTACATCCACCGGAAGCACGGCCATTGTCCCCCTGGAGCAGGCTTGGGGGTTGCGAAGCAATTCTTGGGTTGACGATGACCTGCTTCCTAGGCCACACAACACGTCTGATTTCTGGTGGAAACTCCAGATATGTCGTGTGGCAAAAAAGTCAAGCCTGAGAACCACAGATTCTAGTCCTAATGCAGGCAAACCATACTGTCAACTATTCCATTTTTGGGAACCTAATTTTGACCCATGTTACCATGAGCTTTGACAACTTTTTTTGGTTAACCATCACTCAAAGCAAAGCAGACATCATAAACGGGTTTGGGGCGGAGACCCTGGTCACGCTGGCACAAACAGTCCAGACATATCCCGAAACCAACAAAAGGAAAGATAGCTTCAAAAGTTTTCAACGAATAAAACCTGTTCAACCTTCTGGAAGTCTTGAGGTCTTGTCCGATGCCCAAGATGTCTCACGATCATTCACGATCATCTCAATCGAATTCTCTCAATTCCTTGCCAGCAGGTGTTGCATACCGAATGCTTTGGGCCCTATACCATGGCGAAATCGCCCAGAAGTATAGGTGGGGTTGGCAACAGAGTTTTTGCGCCAGGGTAATTTCATCTTTGCACAACTTTCTTTGCAGCAGGACTTTGTCACTTTTGTTATTTGATTCTAAAACATTATATGAGCCACCGCAAACCCCCCGGCAATACTAAATATGTATTGGACGGATATTGGTTTATGGAAATTGATGGAAATTGTTAAAAACACACGGTAAGCGATGGGACCTTCCCAAATTAGCGATACCCCTTTTCAAGGTTATGTCATTGTATTTCTCTAATATCCACATTAGCGATACCCAAATTGGACGTTGATTTCTGTGAATTATGCATATATAATCATATATTATATATATATAATTGTAGCAGTTTCCTGCAAGCGATACCCCCCAAGTTTACCATATATCATTATTGTACAAACGTGTGGTAAGCGATGGGACCTTCCCAAATTTGTGGATGTCCTTTCCGTGAACCTAGGGTTTTCGAGATTGCTCATATATATACATATATATATATACACATATGTATATATATATACATTATTACATGGAAGGTCTGATAGCTGGCACCACTGCTGTAAATGCTATCTTCTTTGACTTTGGCGTGCACACTTTTGAAAACACACCGGTAGGGCGCCATGGAGATCTCGGAATATCTTGGATTAATCTGTCTATTCACCATGGCTTTGAAGATTCCTCCAGGTTCCAGTGTAGGGACGAGGAGGCGGACTCAGAGGAGAGTGATTTCGAGGAGCAGGCCTGTGATGGCCAGTGGGTTCCAGCTTGTTCTCAGCTTAGCTCAGCTTTTCAGCTTGGCCTTTTTTGCATTTGACAAAGGCCACACTTGCTCGCCATTGCTTGTTGGTACCGCGCTTCATCTACTGCCTTGCGACTGTCTCAACCTTGCTGTTGGAAGCTCAATGGAAAAGACTGGGCGCAGATCTGGTGGACGTCTTTTGCGGACGAACAATACACACAAGAACATAAAAGAACTATAGTAACTATAGGATTTGGTAGTGGCATTGTCCTCATTTGTCCTCTCCTCATGCACAGGATTTATTTTCAGCATGCAAGTACCCCTCACTTGAAGTTGTTCGGCACAAGTGTTCTTCAACTGCGCTGTTCAGTCTTGGTGCTCATTACATTTGAGGCTTTGGCTAAATGGTGTGTATCAGGCGCAGGGGATTTGATGTACTGGGCAAAATCGCCTATAACTCAAGCCTCTCATCTTGAGTTGCGTTTGCTTCTGAGAGTTATAGGATGAACCAAGCATCCAAGAATAATCCTATAACATCCTATAACTACTCTCGACGTTGAGGGAACACTTGACACCAGGCCATGTCGGCCAAGGAGCAAATGTGTGGTCGTTCTGCTGAGGTCAGCTGCAGATGAAATCAGATGAAGGGGAGGGGAAGGAATGGGACTGGGACCCCTAGCGTTGGCAGAAGATTTCAGTCGCCTGATGGCACTCATCTGAGCTCAAGTCTTTTGTCCCCCAAAAGATTTGGTCGAAATTCATGCAGTCCATGCAGTCGCGTTTGCAGGTCTTTTGGCTCTTGGCCTTCATCATGATGGCCACAACTTGCTACGCGTCAGCTGGGGATCCCAAAAGTCACCTTCTCATTAAGCACATGCCCTGATCGAAGATAATATCGAAGATAACCAACGACCAAGCTCACAATAAGGCATTGATAGAAGCTGTCAGAATCTACACATGCTTTTACTTTCTGCTATAAATATATCATAATATATCGTAGGTGCCTTGAACACGTACAAAAAGGTCTCCGTAGACTGACCGTTCCAACGACATTCCAACGACCGTTCTGGTAACCTGCTCGGCACCTGCTTGGCATCTCAGTGGACGTCACGTCTTAGGTTGATTCGAGCGGCCGGAGTACTGTGAGTCTGTGAAAGCAGGGCAACTCCGCGCCTTGATGGCCAATGATGGCCACGATGGCCGTGGCCGCCAGCAATGGGGTGCCCAGCATGCTGGGCTGACCATCTCTTTTCGTTTAGCCTGATATGCAATGTGATATGCAATGTGATATGCAATGCATTTCAAAGAAAAATGCGCGCCTCAATTTGGCCTGGAGAACCAGTGCCTTGTGCCTTTTGTCAGAGCCAAGATTTGTTTGAGTCATTTGCAATCTGACCAAGCGTTTTCGGTTGTACTCATACCACCCGCAAGAAACGAGCGCTGGTGGCTCAAACTTGGTAGTAGAGAACCAGAAGAGCCGTGATTAGGATGACGAAGATGGTTCTTGAATTTTGGGCTACGGCTAGCGGAAATTGTGCAGCAGCCATCATGTTAGTGCTACTTATTCAAAGCACAGTCTGGAAGACCCGTTACTTCCACCAGAAGCAAAAGGCATAGCATGTATATATATATAAATAGTAGATATGTATATATATATATATAATATGTTTTTTGTGTGAATTACTGTCATATAATCACAATTCTCTGACCTTAGCTGCATAGGTTCTAGATTGATACCAACCAGCTTGCAGCAAAGCCATGAGAAGCTCACGGTCAGTGTGGTACGAAGCCTTGACTGCCAGAGACACCCCTTGATGGATGAGCCAGCTGCAAGACGCGCCAGAGCGGAAGCGCCCCTGCCCATTGGAAGTGCCAAGGCAATCTCAGCTACAGCCGTTTTGTCAAGCGGTGTCCAGATTGTAAATGGAAAGGCTGAAGGATGATAAAGGGTATCAACTATCGATGAATGTTATTGACAAGCAACACGCATTATTTCCTGAATTCTCAACAACTGCATTGATCTACTCTACACAACCAGCAATGAAACCATTGGCGGCCACGCAATGAGGACAAAGGCAAAGCCATGCAAAACCCAAGCCGTGACCCGTCTTAGTTTTGGATGTGACTTGCCAGCTTCCCAGCCACTAGCATAATCTTCTGCATTAATCTGTACTGAGATTGAACCGCAAGATCAACGAGAGTTTGTTTTAATCTGTTTTAGATCTCCTACTGATTCTTACTGTTTCAAACACTTGCTAAGGATGGCACAGAATATCACAGCAGCAGCAATCAGCAGCAAATGAGAGAGAGAGAGAGGAGCTTTCGAGCACGTGCTTCTTTTGTGCGAGCAGCACAGCGCAGCGCACTGTGCAGCATCAAGGCAGCTTCTTACGATCAGCAAGATGATTGGTCACTCAGCCACGAAGGCCTTGGAGCACTGCGAGCTGGAATGGTTCAAATCAATGTTTGTCTGAAAATGGGGCATACCGCCAATTATGGCAGTCTTATGGGGAAACTGATGACAATCCACTGGATTTTGGGGTACCCTACTTTTGGACAAACTCCATTCAATGTTCATGCCTCCAAAATTCTGAACCAAATGTGATCATAAAATTGCACCACACAGCACCATCCACGCTCCACATTCTACGCTACTTGACAGTCCACACAAACTCGACAGGTCCCATTCTCATTACACTGCAAACTCTACCCCACCACGCCCTACACACTCAACACTTCACACTTTAGACTGCAATCTCGGCACTCCACATTCTACACACTCCAGAGCCCACCCACACACACACAAACAGAGAAAAGCTGCAAGATGGTGCAAGGTTCAAAAACAGGAGGCCAAGGTAAAAAAAAAGAGTAGGCCAAGGTTAAAAAAGAGCAGGCCAAGGTTAAAAGTAATCCAGGGCCAAAAAATGTATAAAAAAGTAATCCAAGGATATCCAAGGTCAAAAAAAGAGGCAAGGTTAAACAAAAGTAATCCAGGGTCAAAAGAAAGAGTTGCCGTTCGCGATTTGCCACCTGTTTCTTGGAGTGGCATGTAATGGCGCGACTCGCAAGGCTCTTATAAAAGTAGCTGTTCGACGAGGTGACATTTTTCAACATGGGAAACTATTGAACTGGTCCAAGCAATGGGGAGACCATATCCCAGCCATTGGTTCAGCAGCTGCATTTTGGACGGACTTTGGGCCACATTTGATGATTGGCAGAGTCAACAAGAAGCAAAGACCCGCCAGGTTGTGGAAGTTGCCAGATGACAAGCACGAGGTCAGGCTTAAAATTACGCCGATCCTGAATCCCGATGCTTTAATAAAAGATACAGATGGTGTTGTTGCTGTTGATGATGATGGTGATGATGATGATGATGATGATAATGATGACGACGACGACGATGACGAGGATTATCATTCTTTTAATTGCATATTATATTATATATATATTAAAATCATCTTGTTGTCACAGGTATTCTTGCTTCAGCATGTCTTTGCTTCATTCCCAATGGAAATGGTGATGCTGAAACCAGGTGTCCCCTACTTTTGCGAGGGAGCTGAACTGTCCACAATGGAGGTGCTACCACGCAGTTCAGGAGTTCCAACGAAATGTCGGTGAGTGTGTTATACTTTTCCAACAACAGTGAATATCAACTTGACTATGAGATATGGGTTTGGGGACACACACATATATATATTATATAAAATATAACCTGAATGAATCCTTTGTCGGGATGCAAGTATGGAACAATCACTTGGCCATCATGGCTATCTGCAATGCCTTTATCCCTCATGGAAGTGTCGTCAAACTGGTTTGCTGCAAATGACGCAGGAAATTCTGAGACTATGCACATGCACATATTTGCACTTACTACTATCTGCGTTGTTGCATGTCTTTGCGTTTCCAGGTTTTCGATCAGGTCGCAATTTGCTTAAAGAGAATGGCAATTTGCTAACACCATTTTCATCCCTTTCTTTTAATCCCAGAATGAGTATACGATGTAGAGGCAAGCACGGGGCTGCCCTGCACTTGAGGAGCCCGCAGACCCAGTGGTTCCTAGACGAGGTCGACAAGCAATGATTTTCGGAATTTCCGTACCTAATTTTAGCACAACACCTCCGAACACCGGCGAGGTGCACAATGTGACACCTCAATGTTGCATCATATTTTCCAACTTTGGCTTCTTCCAGTCCTATCTCCGGGAGAAGGGTTTCAGCCGGCCTTTGCTCGTCAGGATGAAATCATCCCACCGAGCAGCTGGTGGATGTTCTGTGTTACTGCAGCTGCCCCAGATATGCTGCTGGACGTAGCAAACCGATATATAGGTCATAGGTACTGCAAGAAAATTGATGACCCAATGACCCCGCCTGGTCATGTACTGGAATGCAGTCCAACAACTAACACCATTTCAAGTAGAATTTGTGATGTCCCCTTGCCTCAACAGCTTAAAATCTGATTCCGCAGGCATTCAAGTGTTCAGCCTTTTCACTCTTGCTCCTGACGCGTGCGTTGCTTGAGAACATGAGATTCAGTGCATTTGTGATCGCCAGTGTTTTCGTGAGCTATGTGGGCTATGGAATGCGACATGGCATGGATGATGACAAGGAGGAGCCGGGTTGGTCCGGGTTGGTGGCTGAAACGCCATCCGCTCCTGTTCAGGTTAGAAAATATGGGTTTGTCCAGAAATGAAGTGTATACTGTACTGTATACCCAAAGGGGGCAATTTTCATGGGAATGCTAAACTCTCCCTCAACGGTATACATAGAAGTAGCTACAGCATGGCATGCCACTGATTTTTAACAAAGGATCGATTCACAGGATGTTGAACATCTCCATGGCTTACTCTCATCATCACATGATTTCTTCCCTATTTTCCATAGATTTCTGCACTGTTTCTGCCCTGTTTCTGTTTTGGACCCCAAATGGGTTCATCCAAAAGCTGGACAGGGCTCACAAGCCGCCAGGCTGCCGAGCTGGCAACGGAAACTGTTCACCTCGTGGAAAGTGGCGACCCACTTGGGGATGCCGCCGAAGCTGGGAATGTGGAGTTGGTCAAGAAGCTGCTGAAGGGCAGGGGCAAACTCAAGGTGCACGCCACGTTGCTTGGAAAAATCTTGAAGCAGCTGGGGGAATCTGAAGCAAAAAAGAGATCTACAACCAACGGAAAGCCAGGATTTGAGCATGCACACTTGGGGCATTCAATAGCCACAACTTTAGTGGGATTCCTGCGTGTATTTGGGGCAGTTTCATCCTTGTTTTCATGCTGGATTTTAGGGTACAAGCTCAAGAGATTTACTTCTTTCTCACTGTTGCAAAATGGAGAGATCTTTGGCTGTTCTATAACTGGGTCTGGCATCGAGCGGCTCAACTGCCTAGGGACGGCAATGGCGAAACCCCATTGATTCGTGCGTCCCGAAACAACCACATCGAAGTCGTCAAGTTGTTGATCTCTGCTGGAGCTGACCCCAACAAAATTGGAGGCACCTGGCAAAAGTTCTATGTTTTTCTATGTTTTTCCTAACTTGTGAACCACCTCATCCAATCTCTGGGTGTTGAAGCTTCCATTTGCTATCCCATGCTATCCCCAGGTCGTCAGAGTCCTTTAATGGTGGCGGCCTACCATGGTTACGTGGAGCTGATGAAGCTGCTGCTTGGCGCTTTTGCCAAGGTGGACCTTCGGTTTTCGGGCCAGAGCGTGACAGCTTTGTTCATGGCGTTGAAGCATCCGGAGGCTGTGAAGGCGGGGAGGCAGACCCGGTAGAGGGATGAGATTGTTAGGGTTGGGTCAGGACCCAAAAATCCTACGGTGAAAATTGGATGAAACTGGAACATCAGGAACTTCCTAGACCATCTAGACGTGAAGGGGGGTTCTGGTACGGGTCCAGCGGTTCACTTCGGATGTAGCTCAGGTGCTATTGAATGCCAAGGCGACTGTGAATGCCGTGGCAGAGTACGATGACAAGACGCCGCTACACCAAGCAGCTCAACACGGGTTTGCTGAGACGGTGATGCGGATCAAGCACAAAGACCAAGACTTTTTGACCACGGGAAGCTGAAGAGATAAATTTGGGGCCCGGAAGATGGTGTTCATCCCTTGGATCTGGGTAACTTTTTTTTGCTCGCCCGCTTCAAATCCAATTGGAATTATCTGGCACTTGTGGAATCTCAACTGAATCTTCTGGCCTTTTCCATGTTTGTGCCGCAGTTGAGGTGAAGTTGCTGTTGGCTGCGGGGGCAATCGTCAACAAGAAGAACGGAGACGGCTGGACTCCGCTGTTCAGCGCCGCCCGTTACGGTCACACAGATGTCATGAAGCTTCTGCTGGACGCTGGGGCGGAGGTGGGGATGGATCAAAGTCGAAATCAAGAAACAAAAAGTCGCAGAACAGCTTGGGCGGCTCCAACACGCATCCAATTTCTATGACATGACATCACCATCTTTCAACCCACACCATCCAGGTCAATGTGGTGAACATGCACGACCAAACTCCGCTGCACGTAGCCACCTGGAGCGGCAAAGCCGATGCCGTGAAGCTTTTGCTGGAGCACCACGCCTCCGTCAACGTGGTGGACGACTCGGGGTCCACGCCGTTGATCACGGCCGCGCAGGAGAACGCCGAAATGGTGAAGTTGTTGCTGGATGCCAAGGACAAGTTGGGAACATTTTTTGGGTGATTATTTTTTGGGACCTTTTCGGATTAGATATTTATACTATATACAATATTATATACATATAATATATATATATATAATATAGAGGGTGGTCCTGCATAACCCTTGCTGGGACCCTTGCCTTTTCCCTTGCTCACATCTCCTTTGAAACTTTGGTGTGGCTGCTTCTGCACACGTTGTCTTGGGCTTTGAGTTCGTTTCCGTGGTGACTTGGATCTTCCTGAAGCCCACGGTCCTGAATCTCGCCATTGATAGTCTTGCCAATCTTGCCAGCCTGTGGTGTAAGCTCCTCCATGTTGATGTTGAGGGTGCCGTGGCTGCTGGTGCACATAGCTCGAGTCGTTGCATTGTGACCAGTACCTCCAGCAACCTCCACATTGTCCTGATCTGCCCTTGACCAGGCGCATACAAAATCTGCACCTCCACGGATCTGGTTTGTCCATCTCTGCACGTAGCCGAGCAAGGAGTCTGGGATCCCGTGAATGATGTCTTCTGAAGGTGGCAATCAACTTCTTGATCTTGTCCACCGAGAGCCGTCGAAAACCACGACGATGTAGGTGCCAGTCCAGACGGGCCTTCGCCCGAAGTCTGCGTTGACGCCTCCGAAGAGCAGCTGTAATTCTGGGCGAAGGTCAAATGAATAACCACCAGAAAAATCAAATAAAGCATGTATTGTAGCAAGAACCACCAGAGATCAGTGTGCAAGCCCCACGCTTGCAGAGATCGATCCAATGTTGTAAATGCCAAATAGAATTACTTTGATCTGGTTTAGGCAGAGCACCAGATGAACCCGTCCCAAGGTGAAAAATACCTTAGGGAGATGACAAAGTCCGGAATGAGGAAGTTGAAGAGCGCGGACTTGTCAAACACAATGAGCAAAGGCGGTAGTATCCTGCCCAGGGATACCAGAGCGCAAGAAGGCGCGAAGCAAGTGCAACGCCAGCGCCCGCGGTCGTGTGCTCACCACGATCGCTAAGGTCCCAAAGCTGAACAGACGAGAGGGCACCCTGCTGTCAGCCGAAACCTTATAATATATAGAGGGTGGTCCTGCATAACCCTTGCTGGGACCCTTGCCTTTTCCCTTGCTCACATCTCCTTTGAAACTTTGGTGTGGCTGCTTCTGCACACGTTGTCTGGGGCTTTGAGTTCGTTTCCGTGGTGACTTGGATCTTCCTGAAGCCCACGGTCCTGAATCTTGCCAGCCAGCCTGTGGTGTAAGCTCCTCCATGTTGATGTTGAGGGTGCCGTGGCTGCTGGTGCACATAGCTCGAGTCGTTGCATTGTGACCAGTACCTCCAGCAACCTCCACATTGTCCTGATCTGCCCTTGACCACGCGCATACGAAATCTGCACCTCCACGGATCTGGTTTGTCCATCTCTGCACGTAGCCGAGCAAGGAGTCTGGGATCCCGTGAATGATGTCTTCTGAAGGTGGCAATCAACTTCTTGATCTTGTCCACCGAGAGCCGTCGAAAACCACGACGATGTAGGTGCCAGTCCAGACGGGCCTTCGCCCGAAGTCTGCGTTGACGCCTCCGAAGAGCAGCTGTAATTCTGGGCGAAGGTCAAATGAATAGCCACCAGAAAAATCAAATAAAGCATGTATTGTAGCAAGAACCACCAGAGATCAGTGTGCAAGCCCCACGCTTGCAGAGATCGATCCAATGTTGTAAATGCCAAATAGAATTACTTTGATCTGGTTTAGGCAGAGCACCAGATGAACCCGTCCCAAGGTGAAAAATACCTTAGGGAGATGACAAATTTCCGGAATGGGAGTTGAAGAGCGCGGGACTGTCACACAAAAAACCAAAAAAATGAGCAAGGCGGTAGTACCTGCCCCAGGTATGTACCAGACCGCAAGAAGGCGCTGAAGCAAGTGCAACGCCGCGCCCGCGGTCTTGGGTGCTCGATACCACGATCGCTAAGGTCCCAAAGCTGAACAGACGAGAGGGCACCCTGCTGTCAGCCGAAACCTTATAATATATAGAGGGTGGTCCTGCATAACCCTTGCTGGGACCCTTGCCTTTTCCCTTGCTCACATCTCCTTTGAAACTTTGGTGTGGCTGCTTCTGCACACGTTGTCTTGGGCTTTGAGTTCGTTTCCGTGGTGACTTGGATCTTCCTGAAGCCCACGGTCCTGAATCTTGCCATTGATAGTCTTGCCAATCTTGCCAGCCTGTGGTGTAAGCTCCTCCATGTTGATGTTGAGGGTGCCGTGGCTGCTGGTGCACATAGCTCGAGTCGTTGCATTGTGACCAGTACCTCCAGCAACCTCCACATTGTCCTGATCTGCCCTTGACCAGGCGCATACAAAATCTGCACCTCCACGGATCTGGTTTGTCCATCTCTGCACGTAGCCGAGCAAGGAGTCTGGGATCCCGTGAATGATGTCTTCTGAAGGTGGCAATCAACTTCTTGATCTTGTCCACCGAGAGCCGTCGAAAACCACGACGATGTAGGTGCCAGTCCAGACGGGCCTTCGCCCGAAGTCTGCGTTGACGCCTCCGAAGAGCAGCTGTAATTCTGGGCGAAGGTCAAATGAATAACCACCAGAAAAATCAAATAAAGCATGTATTGTAGCAAGAACCACCAGAGATCAGTGTGCAAGCCCCACGCTTGCAGAGATCGATCCAATGTTGTAAATGCCAAATAGAATTACTTTGATCTGGTTTAGGCAGAGCACCAGATGAACCCGTCCCAAGGTGAAAAATACCTTAGGGAGATGACAAGGTCCGGAATGAGGAAGTTGAAGAGCGCGGACTTGTCAAACACAATGAGCAAAGGCGGTAGTATCCTGCCCAGGGATACCAGAGCGCAAGAAGGCGCGAAGCAAGTGCAACGCCAGCGCCCGCGGTCGTGTGCTCACCACGATCGCTAAGGTCCCAAAGCTGAACAGACGAGAGGGCACCCTGCTGTCAGCCGAAACCTTATAATATATAGAGGGTGGTCCTGCATAACCCTTGCTGGGACCCTTGCCTTTTCCCTCGCTCACATCTCCTTTGAAACTTTGGTGTGGCTGCTTCTGCACACGTTGTCTTGGGCTTTGAGTTCGTTTCCGTGGTGACTTGGATCTTCCTGAAGCCCACGGTCCTGAATCTTGCCATTGATAGTTTTGCCAATCTTGCCAGCCTGTGGTGTAAGCTCCTCCATGTTGATGTTGACGGTGCCGTGGCTGCTGGTGCACATAGCTCGAGTCGTTGCATTGTGACCAGTACCTCCAGCAACCTCCACATTGTCCTGATCTGCCCTTGACCAGGCGCATACAAAATCTGCACCTCCACGGATCTGGTTTGTCCATCTCTGCACGTAGCCGAGCAAGGAGTCTGGGATCCCGTGAATGATGTCTTCTGAAGGTGGCAATCAACTTCTTGATCTTGTCCACCGAGAGCCGTCGAAAACCACGACGATGTAGGTGCCAGTCCAGACGGGCCTTCGCCCGAAGTCTGCGTTGACGCCTCCGAAGAGCAGCTGTAATTCTGGGCGAAGGTCAAATGAATAACCACCAGAAAAATCAAATAAAGCATGTATTGTAGCAAGAACCACCAGAGATCAGTGTGCAAGCCCCACGCTTGCAGAGATCGATCCAATGTTGTAAATGCCAAATAGAATTACTTTGATCTGGTTTAGGCAGAGCACCAGATGAACCCGTCCCAAGGTGAAAAATACCTTAGGGAGATGACAAAGTCCGGAATGAGGAAGTTGAAGAGCGCGGACTTGTCAAACACAATGAGCAAAGGCGGTAGTATCCTGCCCAGGGATACCAGAGCGCAAGAAGGCGCGAAGCAAGTGCAACGCCAGCGCCCGCGGTCGTGTGCTCACCACGATCGCTAAGGTCCCAAAGCTGAACAGACGAGAGGGCACCCTGCTGTCAGCCGAAACCTTATAATATATAGAGGGTGGTCCTGCATAACCCTTGCTGGGACCCTTGCCTTTTCCCTTGCTCACATCTCCTTTGAAACTTTGGTGTGGCTGCTTCTGCACACGTTGTCTTGGGCTTTGAGTTCGTTTCCGTGGTGACTTGGATCTTCCTGAAGCCCACGGTCCTGAATCTTGCCATTGATAGTCTTGCCAATCTTGCCAGCCTGTGGTGTAAGCTCCTCCATGTTGATGTTGAGGGTGCCGTGGCTGCTGGTGCACATAGCTCGAGTCGTTGCATTGTGACCAGTACCTCCAGCAACCTCCACATTGTCCTGATCTGCCCTTGACCAGGCGCATACAAAATCTGCACCTCCACGGATCTGGTTTGTCCATCTCTGCACGTAGCCGAGCAAGGAGTCTGGGATCCCGTGAATGATGTCTTCTGAAGGTGGCAATCAACTTCTTGATCTTGTCCACCGAGAGCCGTCGAAAACCACGACGATGTAGGTGCCAGTCCAGACGGGCCTTCGCCTGAAGTCTGCGTTGACGCCTCCGAAGAGCAGCTGTAATTCTGGGCGAAGGTCAAATGAATAACCACCAGAAAAATCAAATAAAGCATGTATTGTAGCAAGAACCACCAGAGATCAGTGTGCAAGCCCCACGCTTGCAGAGATCGATCCAATGTTGTAAATGCCAAATAGAATTACTTTGATCTGGTTTAGGCAGAGCACCAGATGAACCCGTCCCAAGGTGAAAAATACCTTAGGGAGATGACAAGGTCCGGAATGAGGAAGTTGAAGAGCGCGGACTTGTCAAACACAATGAGCAAAGGCGGTAGTATCCTGCCCAGGGATACCAGAGCGCAAGAAGGCGCGAAGCAAGTGCAACGCCAGCGCCCGCGGTCGTGTGCTCACCACGATCGCTAAGGTCCCAAAGCTGAACAGACGAGAGGGCACCCTGCTGTCAGCCGAAACCTTATAATATATAGAGGGTGGTCCTGCATAACCCTTGCTGGGACCCTTGCCTTTTCCCTTGCTCACATCTCCTTTGAAACTTTGGTGTGGCTGCTTCTGCACACGTTGTCTTGGGCTTTGAGTTCGTTTCCGTGGTGACTTGGATCTTCCTGAAGCCCACGGTCCTGAATCTTGCCATTGATAGTCTTGCCAATCTTGCCAGCCTGTGGTGTAAGCTCCTCCATGTTGATGTTGAGGGTGCCATGGCTGCTGGTGCACATAGCTCGAGTCGTTGCATTGTGACCAGTACCTCCAGCAACCTCCACATTGTCCTGATCTGCCCTTGACCAGGCGCATACAAAATCTGCACCTCCACGGATCTGGTTTGTCCATCTCTGCACGTAGCCGAGCAAGGAGTCTGGGATCCCGTGAATGATGTCTTCTGAAGGTGGCAATCAACTTCTTGATCTTGTCCACCGAGAGCCGTCGAAAACCACGACGATGTAGGTGCCAGTCCAGACGGGCCTTCGCCCGAAGTCTGCGTTGACGCCTCCGAAGAGCAGCTGTAATTCTGGGCGAAGGTCAAATGAATAACCACCAGAAAAATCAAATAAAGCATGTATTGTAGCAAGAACCACCAGAGATCAGTGTGCAAGCCCCACGCTTGCAGAGATCGATCCAATGTTGTAAATGCCAAATAGAATTACTTTGATCTGGTTTAGGCAGAGCACCAGATGAACCCGTCCCAAGGTGAAAAATACCTTAGGGAGATGACAAAGTCCGGAATGAGGAAGTTGAAGAGCGCGGACTTGTCAAACACAATGAGCAAAGGCGGTAGTATCCTGCCCAGGGATACCAGAGCGCAAGAAGGCGCGAAGCAAGTGCAACGCCAGCGCCCGCGGTCGTGTGCTCACCACGATCGCTAAGGTCCCAAAGCTGAACAGACGAGAGGGCACCCTGCTGTCAGCCGAAACCTTATAATATATAGAGGGTGGTCCTGCATAACCCTTGCTGGGACCCTTGCCTTTTCCCTTGCTCACATCTCCTTTGAAACTTTGGTGTGGCTGCTTCTGCACACGTTGTCTTGGGCTTTGAGTTCGTTTCCGTGGTGACTTGGATCTTCCTGAAGCCCACGGTCCTGAATCTTGCCATTGATAGTCTTGCCAATCTTGCCAGCCTGTGGTGTAAGCTCCTCCATGTTGATGTTGAGGGTGCCGTGGCTGCTGGTGCACATAGCTCGAGTCGTTGCATTGTGACCAGTACCTCCAGCAACCTCCACATTGTCCTGATCTGCCCTTGACCAGGCGCATACAAAATCTGCACCTCCACGGATCTGGTTTGTCCATCTCTGCACGTAGCCGAGCAAGGAGTCTGGGATCCCGTGAATGATGTCTTCTGAAGGTGGCAATCAACTTCTTGATCTTGTCCACCGAGAGCCGTCGAAAACCACGACGATGTAGGTGCCAGTCCAGACGGGCCTTCGCCCGAAGTCTGCGTTGACGCCTCCGAAGAGCAGCTGTAATTCTGGGCGAAGGTCAAATGAATAACCACCAGAAAAATCAAATAAAGCATGTATTGTAGCAAGAACCACCAGAGATCAGTGTGCAAGCCCCACGCTTGCAGAGATCGATCCAATGTTGTAAATGCCAAATAGAATTACTTTGATCTGGTTTAGGCAGAGCACCAGATGAACCCGTCCCAAGGTGAAAAATACCTTAGGGAGATGACAAAGTCCGGAATGAGGAAGTTGAAGAGCGCGGACTTGTCAAACACAATGAGCAAAGGCGGTAGTATCCTGCCCAGGGATACCAGAGCGCAAGAAGGCGCGAAGCAAGTGCAACGCCAGCGCCCGCGGTCGTGTGCTCACCACGATCGCTAAGGTCCCAAAGCTGAACAGACGAGAGGGCACCCTGCTGTCAGCCGAAACCTTATAATATATAGAGGGTGGTCCTGCATAACCCTTGCTGGGACCCTTGCCTTTTCCCTTGCTCACATCTCCTTTGAAACTTTGGTGTGGCTGCTTCTGCACACGTTGTCTGGGGCTTTGAGTTCGTTTCCGTGGTGACTTGGATCTTCCTGAAGCCCACGGTCCTGAATCTTGCCAGCCAGCCTGTGGTGTAAGCTCCTCCATGTTGATGTTGAGGGTGCCGTGGCTGCTGGTGCACATAGCTCGAGTCGTTGCATTGTGACCAGTACCTCCAGCAACCTCCACATTGTCCTGATCTGCCCTTGACCACGCGCATACGAAATCTGCACCTCCACGGATCTGGTTTGTCCATCTCTGCACGTAGCCGAGCAAGGAGTCTGGGATCCCGTGAATGATGTCTTCTGAAGGTGGCAATCAACTTCTTGATCTTGTCCACCGAGAGCCGTCGAAAACCACGACGATGTAGGTGCCAGTCCAGACGGGCCTTCGCCCGAAGTCTGCGTTGACGCCTCCGAAGAGCAGCTGAAATTCTGGGCGAAGGTCAACAACAACAACAACAACAACAACAACAACAACAACAACAACAACAACCACAACCACAACCACAACCGCAACCGCAACCGCAACCGCAACCGCAACCGCAACCGCAACCACAACCACAACCACAACCACAACCACAACCACAACCACAACCACAACCACAACCACAACCACAACCACCAACCACAACAACCACAACAACCACAACCAACCAACACCAACCAAGCAACCAACCAACCAACCAAGCAACCAACCAACCAACCAAGCAACCAACCAACCAACCAACCAACCAACCAACTAACTAACCAACCAACCAACCAACCATCCATCCATCCATCCATCCATCCATCCAACCACAACAACAGCAACAACAACAACACCATGCAAATCAGAGAGCTTAGCTGCAAAACGCTGCAAATACCAATCAAAATCATCAAACCCCAAAAAACGGAAAAAAAATCCCAAAAAAAAACGGGAAAAAAATCCCAAAAAAAATTGCAGCCCATGTATTGTAGCAAGAACCACCAGAGATCAGTGTGCAAGCCGGTTTCCATGGCGCCTTCAACTGCGGAGGCCTCTTCTGTGAATGCCCCCACAGCATCAATGCCCTCAATGCAGCCTTTCCCCAAGCCTTCGATCAGCAAGGACGAGCAGGAACTGCATTCTTTGCGGCATATGTACAAGGAGATCAAAAACAAGTCCAACCTGCCGGAGGACATCAAGAAGGTGGTCCTTGCGACAGAGGCGACAGTCCGAAAGGTGGACGCCAAGACCCACAGCCAACTGGTGTCTCAATTGAACAACATGCGAAAGAAGCTCTCGGAGATCGACGAGCAATGGGAATCTTATCGTCAACAATGGGCAGACTACCTCGACAAAGCTACCCAGATGTGGATGTCGCATGTGAAGGAGTTCGAGCAGGGAGAGGCACAGTTTGCAGAAAGACGTGGGGAAGCTCTGCGCAATTTGCAGACCACAAGGGAAGCTCTCCACGATGCTCATCAGAGGACGATGGGTCAAGATGTCCTTGCATCAAACGACATCGATTCAGCTCAGGAAGCCTTGGATGCTACTATGACTGTGGGCGAGAACGACTCCACAGGGATGCAGACAAGCTTTGCCCAAATCAAGGAGAACCTCAATGGTGTGGTGCAGCAGGTTCGCAGCACTATCGAGGAGAAGATCAGGAAGCGCGATCGTTCAAGATCACGTGGACATCATGGCGATGGCGTTGGCGATCATCCGGATGTCGAAGTAGTGGAACCCGCAGACAAGAAGGTTCGGGATTCCACTTAGCCCCATGTCTCCCAGCGTCGTTTTGCGAGGTCTTTCCAGAGTGTGCTACATCTGGGAGAAGAGACACGGGGCGGAAGAGAGACCGGTTTTGCAAAGTTTCCTTTTGGCCCATCATTGACTTTGAGGGAGTTGTCACTGTTGAGTCCAGTTCTTTTTGCAATTTCTGGTCAGAGTCTGACGATCTTTTTCGTGATCGACAGCGACATCCTTTTCCTTATCGCCATTCAGTCTTTGAGGAACCTGATTTTCACAGTGTTTGGGAAGCGCGAGATTCAGCACTCCTTTTACAAGAATCGCTGCAATCGACAGCCTTTGATGTTCAGTTTGACACAATACGAAAGAGTTGGACAGTGGATACTTCTTCGGTTGCCTCATGGATGGCTGATGGAGCTATGCCACCAATGATGCAATCACGAATCAATGATGCTTGGCATGATGTTCCATCCAATTGGCAGACATCGGATGGGCCACCTCATGAACAAGATCCTGGTGAGCATCCCTTCTTTTTGCATGAGGCCCCGGATACCATTCAGGACCTCTACAATGAGTTTCTCAACAATGGTTTGGTGGATGGCCGACTTGCGGAACCCATCCATTTGCGATCTTGGTATCTCCATCACGTGCATCACAGTCAATGTCTCACTTCAAGAATCCTTGAACTAGATGGTCATTGGAGCACTTGGGCGAGAGATTTGGCTGCGGGATGGGCAGACCTTGTCAGACCGGAGGAGGGGCTGGCCTTCTTCATTTGTCATCCTGATCCCCCTCGCTCTAATGGTCACTATGAGCTCTATTTCGACATGACTCTGGTACAGGGCATGAATTTTCCAGCCTGGGCTGGTCTGATCACTGTTGTTCGGGCAGATGATTTTACGGACAGGGCTGATTTTGCACTTGCAGCCTCTCTGCCCAGATTCGTCAGTGGACAACACCTGGCTGCACACCATTTGCGAGGTTGTAGGATTAGTCATGGACGCAATTTGATTCCCTTCAACTTTGACCCGGTCCATGAGATGACCAATGGCGACTCTTTTCTCATCAAGCCTGAGCGCAGCCGCCCATCGGAGTCTCTGCAGACCAGTGGACAGATTGCAGACAATCAAATGGATTATGAGGACGAAGCACAGGAACATGACCTTCAACATGACAGAGCTTCAGACAGCAGGTCGCAGTCTTCAGCAGGCACCTGGTCTCAAGCCGTGCACATCTACAGGCTTGGTCATCTTGCGATTTTTGGTCATCTTGACTGGAGCTCTTACCACACAGCCCTCCGGGATGCGATTCAGATTTCACGTATCCCCAGAAATTCCTGTGTGGGCTTCATTGGGCTTCCAGTATGTTCAAGTTCGGCTACCAGGTCAGCAAGATGGTGAAGAAGCTATTATTTTGCAACATATCGATGACATTGCGACTGGATCTCTGGAGAAGCTGGTGATCATTGACATTGTCTTCCACACCAACACCTTGACGAGAGGAGTCCCGGACCGACCAAACACGGTGAGGGAGGTTTACAGGGTTCAACATCTTCTGGCCCGCAGTCATCTGCTGACATTGACGCATGTTGACGTATATTGCACATGGAGACAGGACCAATGCATTGTTCGATTCAATGACCAACTTTGGGCACCTGGGGATCCTCGACTTCTTCCAATTGAACATGGAGCTTTCTTCCAAATCCAACTTCCACCGCCCCCAAATCCGGAGTGGGACATTGGCCAAGCTGTCAGAACTATTCAGGAAACGGGCGATCTTCTTGAATTTCCTGAAGCTGGTCAGCTTGCTGCCTCTATCCTCGACGGGAACATTGACAACAACCGAAGAGCTTTTGGGGAAGGTTTCATTGAGGGTGCGCGACTGGTCACTTGCAAGTGCAATGAGGAAGATGCGGATATTCCTGAGGACATTGATATTCCCATGATGCTCCCACCAGGAACGAGTCTTCATGGACCTCGTCCCTCTCATGATGGTGTGTTTGACTGGCTTGATGAATTGGTTGCAGTTTTCAGACAAGAAGCTGAAGCGGAAACTATTGAAGGCAGCCCATTCCTCTATGTGCAAACCTGGTACATACACCATCGTAGGCACAAACGCTGCCCACATCCCCGATCAGTGCGTTTGGATGGCGCCATCATTGGGTGGATTGAAGAGTTGCGTTATGCTTGGAGTGATGTGCTGGATAGAAGCATACCCTTTGCCATTCATGTTGTCAAACCGCGACCACCACAACCACGATGGCAGTCATTTTCCTGCCACATCATCCTGGTCCAGGCACCACAACCTCATTTGGTAGCAGGAGTTGTTACAACCCTCCTGGAAGGCCCTGATCGAGATGCTATCATGCAGGCGGCGGCTTCATTTCCTGACTTAGTGAACAAACCCGCTGTGGTTGATGAAATGCAGCTACAACCTCAATGTGATCTACGAAGATGCTCGGTGACGGCGAGTGGATTGCCTGTTCACTTGATCCAGCAAACAGAGATCCATAACGGTTTCAATGTCTGCATCAGAGTGGCATCTGTGGTTGCGATGACGCAACGACCAATTCAACCAGGGTCTGCATCAGATCACATGGAACACTTTGAGGATGTTATTTTCATGCAAAGAAGCCGGAGCACTCCAGCTGTTGCGAGCTCTTCGACTGCACAAGGGTCAAACTGCCCGGAGCCATTTGCCTTCAACCCAAATGCTCAAATTTTTGTACCAGGTCAAGTGCTGATTGAAGGGATGGACGAATTTACACAAGATCTCCATCGAATATGGCTTGATGAGTCATTTAGTTGGGAAGGTGAAACTCCAACATGTCTCTTCACCACATGGATGGTTGATCATTCGGGAGCCTTTCGTCATTGCACAAGACCACGCGATGTACGCCTGGGCCCTGACTTCACTGCCTGGGAAGCCCAGATCAAGAATGTTTGGGCGGACGAACTTGTCGGCAACCCTTCTCTTGAATATCACATCATTAGTCCAACCCCACCAAGATTGGAGAACCAGGCTGCTGGACACATCATTGTCATTCAGCATGCAGACGAATCTCTGGTCACGAGCCTGGTATCAATCATTGACAGGACGTTGCGGGGGCAAAATGGCAGAATCCAAAGAATGGCAGTCACAACTCCAGAGCACATTCTTCTCGACACCCTTCTGGATGTGACGGGATATGCACAGGCCTGCATTCCTGACAACTCACCTAGGGTCTGCAGGGCATGGTACTTTGATGAAAGATTGAGGTTGCATCGCCCACTCCCAGGTCGCAGCGGATATGGAATCACTATCAATATTCACCTGCGCACCAGACCGGGTCCTGAAGCAACCAATCTCTTGCAACTTTCTGCTGTTACCGCATCTGTACCTGTCGCTGCATTTGAGGGTGAGCGCCTAACACAGGGGCAGGTGGCTCACACCCCTGGGCCTCCCAAAGTCCTGCAACTTGAGCGACTTCTCTCTGACGAAGGACATGACGAAGGACAGCATGCTGTGCAGCCAATTCGGTTGATTCGAGGACACGACGACGTTCCTCCTTTACCGACCTTCATTGAAGTTGTTGTTTCAGTCACGAAGGAATCGATACAACATGAACTTCAATGCTATGGACAAGATTGTGCAATCGAAATTCTTGGTGAAGGGGCTTTGGCCATGTGCTTTCCAAGTTTGTGGTCCACCAAAAGGACCACGGATGAGCACTTTCACTTCATCTTCACTGAAATGCAAGATTCTGCACCTTCGATTGATCCCCCGTCTTTCATCTCCATTCAGATTCCTCTTTGAAGAAGGATGACCATATTGGCATGATGCGCTTCCTTCACCAGATGGGACATGAGAAAGCAGGCATTCTTGCGATCATTCCTCACAGCCACAATTTGACTGAAGTGCAGTTCACGGCACCATGGAAGCCAAAGCGCCGTCACCGCAACGCCCCTCTTCCTGGCCGTCTCGCCAACCTACAGGATCAACTGGCAAGATGTATGACCCTTCATTTGCTGCACAAGGGGGTTTTGAGTGCCTTTTGGATTTGGGAGCTAACAGTGAGCAACTGCTTTCCTTCTTCGAGCATTCCAGCTTTTTCAGACCTTTGCACTTTCACAGAAGGCATTGATCTACCAGCAACCACATTGGAAGCAATCAATCTGCTGCAACCACTGGAGCGCTACGACAGGCTCATCATCTACACCGATGGCTCATCACATTCAGCTCATTTGCGCTTGGCGCCAGAGCTTGTGGAGGAGCACCATATCCCAGATGCCTGGTCGTTTGTGGTGCTGGGCGAACAGTACACGGATGCTGGCACTCGCCTTGATCTTCTTGGATGGTGTGCGCATCAAGTGAGATGCTCCACTGAGAGCCCCTGGCATCTTGGATCTCGATCCGTAGGTTCCTGGGTGGCAGAGCGTGAAGCGCTTCTATGGGCTTTTATTTGGAGGATTGGATTGAACAGTTGCATCCCAACGACGTTCAGGTCGGACTCCGTCATGACCATTGGGCAGTCTCAAGGCACACTTGGCTCACAGCACCATGATGAGACTTTTGATCTGCTCCGGGGATGCCACCAAATTTTGGAAGCTGCTCTTCCTGCAGATTGTTTGAGAGTTGAACACGTCTATGGACACAACTCAGACCCGTGGAATGACCTTGCTGATCACTTGGCAAAAAGAGAAGCCACGACTGGCTTTCTGCTGCCACGAGGAGAACTCAATGTTCAATTTTGGCGTCCTCTGCTGCCTTATCTGTGGATGCTTTTTGGGCACCAGTATGGTATGCCAGAACATTGTGATCGAGGACTTATCATTCCTGCACCATCCCTGCCAGCTCCTTTCGCGCCCAAGACCTCCTCAAAGCCTGATGCATTGGTTGAAATTCATTTGACCCTCAGCCTGGCAACTGCGAATGTTTTGTCTCTTTACCATCGCCCGGATGGACATGCGGGCAAGGTGAACTACCTCAGAGAGCAATTTATCAGCCATGGGCTCAATTTTCTTGGACTGCAAGAGACGAGAAGTTCTGCTGGGGCTTCACTGGTGCATCATGTTTACAGACTCTGCTCAGGAAGCAACAAAGGACATCACCGGGTGGAACTGTGGTGCAATTTGAAGCAGCCCTATGGATACACCAAAGGCAGACCGCAATACCTTCGCCAAAGTGATTTTGCAGTAGTCTACTATGATGACACCAGGCTGCTCACGAAGATTGATGCGAGCTTACATCAATTTTGGGTGATGGTTTTTCATGCACCGCAAAGTGGACAACCTCAACGCTTGCGAGAACAATGGTGGGAGGTGACACATCAGCTTCTTTTGGATCATCAAGTTCAAGCTGATCACCTTTATGTCTGTGCTGATGCCAATGCTGCACCGGGACCTGGTGATGGACGTCATGTTTTTGAAGAGGCCTCATCTACATCGACATCCACTCCTCTTCTCCAGCATTTCCTGTCCACTTTTGACATGTGCCTGCCTTCCACGAGTACAATTCACACTGGTCCTAGACACGCTTGGGTTCGACCGGACGGTTCCACCTCCCACCTTATTGACTATGTCATGGTGCCGGCTGCGCAATTCCAGGCTTGTTCACACTCACAGCTTCTGGAACACCTTGATTTAGCCAACCAGACGACAGATCACACCGCTACAGGAGTGGAACTTTCATGGTGGACCACAGTGCAGAACCGAGAAGTATCTCATGATGAAGTTGGCCTGCGTTTTGACAGGAACAAAATCAAGGATGGCAACCTCAGCCAGATGTTGGGCAACTTCCACGTAGCGTCATGGTCAACTGATGTGGAGAGACAGACTCATGACTTGACCAATCATATTCATGCCACCCTTCAAGCAGGATGCAGACGCGATCCTTCTCAGCCAAAAAAGGAATATGTCAGCCCTTTTGCTTGGGAGTTGCGACGCCAGAAGCTTTTCCATCGCAAACATTTGAAGACAGCTCGAGCCCTTTTGGCGCGTGAAACCATGGCTCGGATTTTCCATGCTTGGCAAGGAGCTGAAGGAGAGCATTGTCAATGCTCCTTTGACTACGGAACGACCTTGCGATGTGGGCTCTTCAAGCACTATGCCGGCTTTCGTATGACTTCGTGGGGTCTGAAGAAGCACCTGGAGAAGGAAAAGGCCTTCAAGATTTCTGAGGTTGTAGCCTCCTTTGATGCATCTACAGCTGCCTCTGAGATCCAACACAAGATGAAGGGTTTCATGGGCAGCACGAACAAGTTACGACAAGGATTGGCGCCACTTCCAGCGGTGCGTTCTCAGAATGGTTCTCCCTGTGCATCTGCCCCGGAAGTTTTGAACCGCTGGATCCAATTCTTCGCCGACATGGAGGGAGGCACCCGTGTGACACAGAACGAACTGCATGATTCATGGGTCCAATCATTGGCAGACATGAGCAGTTCGACATGCCAAATTGCGGTCGCTGATATTCCTAGTCTTTGCCAACTTGAAGCAGCCTGCAGAAGAGTTAAGGCTGGCAAGGCAGATGGACCAGACAGAGTTCCGTCAGAAGTTTGCAAATTCTACCCCAAGGAGACCGCCAAGCTATTGTATGGGCTCTTGCTGAAGTTGGTTACCCACGGACATGAACCGCTGATCCATAAAGGGGGCACAGTTGTGCCCATCTGGAAGGGGAAGCTGGCTAAGGACACTTGTGCGGCATTTCGATCTATCCTTCTGTGATCAAATCTTGGCAAAGTGATCCACCGGACTCTCAGGGTCCATCAGCGTAGCATGTACGAATCCTTCCTTCATGCCCAACAGCTTGGAGGGCGTCAAAAAGTTCCCGTCACCTTGGGAGCCCACCAGACAAGAGCCTTTCTTCGCTGGCAGCGGGCGCAAGGACATTCTACGGCGATATTGTTTGTCGACCTCCAAGAAGCATTCTACCGAGTCCTCAGACAGCTGGCTATGCCTGGTGACTTCACGGACCTTGAGCTGGCACAGCTTGCATCGCGACTGGGCTTGGCCTCTGATGTTCTTCATGACCTTTGGGGGTTCCTCCATGAGCCTCATGCTCTTGAGCGTGCATGTCTTCCGGCCTCGGCTCAGCGTGCTATCCAAGCGCTTCACTCAAACACTCATTTTCAGCTGCCCAACCAGAAGGACTTTGTGGCCACATCAATGGGCACCAGGCCCGGCGATGCATACGCTGATGTGGTGTTTGGATTCTTACTTGCAAGAGTACTCCGGGTTTTTGAGGAGGCCTTGGCCAGAGCAGATGTTCTTTCTGAAATCCCTATCCAGCATGGACCGGCCTTTTTTGACCTGGAAGTGCCCCACACATCGACTTCACAGCGTTTTCTTGGACCGGTTTGGATGGACGACATGGCGCTATGCCTTTGGGGAGCAAGCAATGAAGGCCTACGTCGCAAGATTGGAGTGGCATCTAGCCTTCTACTTGACCTCTTTCGAGGACATGCCATGGCACCCAATTTGCGTCCTGGAAAAACGGAGCTCATGATTAGTCCGAAAGGACATGGGACAAGGGCGTGGCGCAAAGAAATGTTTGGGCCACTCTCCACCGAGCACTTTACTGCAGTTGGAGAATATGGCCCATATCACATTCACCTTGTGACAAAGTATGTGCACTTGGGGGGAGTCTTGCATCATTCTGGAGAAGTTCGCCTAGAGTTGAGTCCAAGGGTTGCCCTGGCGCACCAGGCTTTCAGCAAACATCGCAAGCTGATTTACCAGAACCGTGCCCTACCTCTTGGCAAGCGTATGGAGATTTTCAGAAGTTTGATCTTGAGTCGCCTGCTGTATGGGTCTGATTCCTGGGTCTTGCAGGACATCCTCACCAAGCATCGTGCACATGTGGCCATCATGAAGCTTTATCGACGCCTCTTGGGCTGTGCGCATGAAGCAAATATCTCAGATGATGAAGTCCTATTCCGTTTGGGTATGCCATCGCCAACGGTGCTTCTACGATTGGCTAGGCTCCGTTATCTCGGCTCCTTGTGCAACATTGGAAACACTGCTTGCTGGGGCCTGCTCAATGCGGATCGTAACTGGAAGCAACTGGTTGAGGACGACTTTGCATGGCTATGGAGCAACCTTTCCAACACCTGCCACCTTGGGGACCCGAAGCTTCACATGAGCCGTTGGTTGGAAATTTTGGTCTGGCATCGAAGTTATTGGCGCAGTTTGCTTCGCAGAACAGAAAAGCATGCCATCCAGCAGCAGGCCCTGAAGTTTCAATGCACGCAGTTCCATTTGAAGATCCGAGATCTCTTAGCAGACAATGGTTTTTGGTCTCCACCTCCATCTTGTGATTTGGATGTGCCTCGAGACCTCTACTTTGGATGCATGCGTTGCCAGATGAGGTTCAAGACCAAGGGAGGTGAAGGTGCTCACATGTGTCGAGCACATCACAAGATCAATCCGATTCGCTATTACATTTCTGGAACACAATGCATGGCGTGCCTTCGAGAGTACCACGCGGTAGGGCAGATGCAAGCCCACCTCCTGCGCAGTGCAGATTGTCGGGCTTATCTTCTTCATCATCGATTACGTGGACAAGCACTTCCGGGCATTGGCTCCAAAGAAGATGTTGAAAGACAACACCGCCTTGATGGCAAGCTTCCGCCATTACAGGCCAGCGGACCGCTACAACCTCAACGTGGCGGACAAGAACTTTCCAGGGTTGACTGGCACTTGCATGATGAGCTTGCGTTAGCGATCCTGGACGCGCAACAACAGCCTGATGCAGAGGACTTGCTGAGCAGCATGAAGAGGATCATCCTCAAGCAGGAGATTGCTTGGACATATTGTCAGGTTACTCTCGCCGAGCTCATGCAAACAGTGAGAGATGAGCAACGTGGATGGGACACTCTCTCCAAGGAGCAGGTCATTGCGGCAATTCACTCTTTGTCATTGCCGGAGACATGGCCTTTCTTGAGACAGCCTTGTGTCTCCCGCACCTTGCCGACCCCTTGTTTGGAAGACCTGGAGAAAGAGTGTGCGGACTGCCGGCTGACTTGCCCCAGTTCGGCAATGCCGGAGATCGCTCGTCCGTGTGGCAGACACCAAATTGTCTTGCACGCGTTCAGCGGTCGCAGGAGACGTGGAGATCTACAATTTTACATGGAAGAACTCTACGACCGCTTTTCTGAAGGTGTGTATCTCACGGTTGTTTCTTTCGACATCGTGGTTGACAGAGTCTATGGCGACGTCACCAACGAGGAGACACAGAAGTTTTGGCTCTCCCATGCCTCAAGCGGCGAAGTTGCGGCCTTTCTTTGCGGACCTCCTTGTGAGACTTGGAGCAGGGCGCGATTTGTCAGACAAGCGCAACGAGATCGAGGTCCCCGTCCAGTGCGCTCAGCGCAAGAACTATGGGGTCTTGCTTCCCTCAGTTTGAGGGAGCTTGCACAGGTGCATGTCGGAAATCATCTGCTATGCTTTTCATTGGAGATGTTGTTTCGTTTGGCGATTGTGCGAGCTTTTGGAGTCCTTGAGCACCCAGAAATGCCAGAAGGCGAGAGCATGCCGTCAATTTGGCGGTTGGATGTGATGCAATGGTTACTCCAGATGCCAGGAGTGAATTCCTTTGGGTTCAGTCAGGGCCTCCTGGGCGCCCCGACGCCAAAACCCACGAGGCTTTTGGTTCTCAACATGGACGGCCTCATGGGTGAGCTGCGACGCCATCACCTTTGCGCAGATCCACCGCGCCGCTCAGCAATTGGGAAAGACACCGATGGCTGCTGGCGCACGGGTGTTCTTAAAGAATACCCTCCGGCAATGAGTAGAGCTCTTGCCGCACAATTTTGTCGTTCACTTGCAGATTGCCCTTTCGAAGAATCGGTGCATCTCAGTGACCATTTTGTGCAGACATGTCAGGCCATGGATTCGAAGGACTATGGCCTGACCATCGGCAAGGACTATGCACAATAGCTGCTGCTGCCGATGTGAATTTGACTGCTTGCCGCACCGAAATGGATCAGTGTGCATGTGCAAAAAAATATAATATATATATATATAGATATAGTATGTATGTATGTATGTATGTATGTATGTATGTATGTATGTGTGTATGTATGTATGTATGTATGCATGTATGTATGTATATATATATATTATAACATAGCGCACCATGATGTTACAATACTGTATTGATTTAGATTCGTATGAAGTTTTGTTTATGGAGGACCTATCAGCAACCCTGCAGGCAGAGGTGAACGTGAAACTCGACAAGTACCTCACCACCCCCTTGCACCAAGCGGCTAAGAACAATCTGCTTGAAGCGGCCAAGATGTTGTTGGATGCTGGGGCAGATGTGAATCCCAAGGACAGTGAAGGCGAAACGCCCTTTGATTATGCCACTGGCGGTGCGAAGGAGCTGTTGGCGGAGCATGGTGGCGTGGAAGGAAAGTCATGGGCCTGGCTGGGAAAACGTGCGATGAAGAAAATTGTCGGGTGAGGTGACCCGCTACACGGCGCTGGCGCGATGAGGAAAAAAGTGCTGAGGTGACGAGGGGGGTATGGAATCATGATGAATATTGATGAATTATGTTCAGGGAATGTGTGTCCAATATTTCCATGCCTATCCTGATGTTGATACGCATATATAAATGTGTGTGTATATATATATATGTATGAGGGACCTTTAGGTCATATTATGCATATGCTGGCTGCTCGAGACTTCATAGATTTAAAAGATTTACAAGAATAAAAAGAATTGAAATAATTAAAAGATTTGACAGATTTAAATATTTAATTCTTTTAAATCTTTTAATTCTCCAGAGCTTGAAAAGATTTAAAATATTTAAATATTTAATTCTTTTAAATCTTTTAATTCTCTAGAGCTTTAAAAGATTTAAAAGATTTAAATCCCAAGAGGTTCCCAGAATCTCACGTCCTTTGGGGATTCAAAATATTTAAAAGAATTAAAAGATTTAAACGATTTAAACGATTAAAATATTTAATTCTTTTAAATCTTTTAATTCCTCAGAGCTTTAAAAGATGCAAAAGATTTAAATATTTAATTCTTTTAAATCTTTTAATTCCCCAGAGCTTTAAAAGATTTAAAAGATTTAAATATTTAATTCTTTTAAATCGTTTAATTCTTTTAAATCTTTTAATTCTTTTAATTCTTTGAAGTCTCCAGGAATCCTCCAACAATAGGGTCAGCTCACGATTTAAATCTTTTAAATCTTTTAATTCCCCAGAGCTTTAAAAGATTTAAAAGATTTAGATATTTAATTATTTTAAATCTTTTAATTCCTCAGAGCTTTAAAAGATTTAAAAGATTTAAATATTTAATTCTTTTAAATCTTTTAATTCCCCAGAGCTTTAAAAGATTTAAAAGATTTAAATCCCAAGAGGTCCCCAGAATCTCACGTCCTTTGTGGATTTAAAATATTTAAAAGATTCAAAAGATTTAAAAGATTTAAATATTTAATTCTTTTAAATCTTTTAATTCCTCAGAGCTTTAAAAGATTTAAAAGATTTAAATATTTAATTCTTTTAAATCTTTTAATTCCCCAGAGCTTTAAAGGATTTAAAAGATTTAAATATTTAATTCTTTTAAATCGTTTAATTCTTTTAAATCTTTTAATTCTTTTAAATCTTTGAAGTCTCCAGGAATCCTCCAACAATATGGTCAGCTCACGATTTAAATCTTTTAAATCTTTTAATTCACCAGAGCTTTAAAAGATTTAAAAGATTTAAATCCCAAGAGGTCCCCAGAATCTCACGTCCTTTGGGGATTTAAAATATTTAAAAGAATTGAAATATTTAAAAGATTTAAATATTTAATTCTTTTAAATCTTTTAATTCCTCAGAGCTTTAAAAGATTTAAAAGATTTAAATATTTAATTCTTTTAAATCTTTTAATTCTTCAGAGCTTTAAAAGATTTAAAAGATTTAAATATTTAATTCTTTTAAATCTTTTAATTCTTCAGAGCTTTAAAAGATTTAAAAGATTTAAATATTTAATTATTTTTAAATCTTTTAATTCTTTTAAATCTTTTAATTCTTTTAAATCTTTGAAGTCTCCAGGAATCCTCCAACAATAGGGTCAGCTCACGATTTAAATCTTTTAAATCTTTTAATTCCCCAGAGCTCTAAAAGATTTAAATATTTAATTCTTTTCAATCTTTTAATTCTCCAGAGCTTTAAAAGACTTAAAATATTTAAATATTTAATTCTTTTAAATCTTTTAATTCTCTAGAGCTTTAAAAGATTTAAAAGATTTAAATCCCAAGAGGTCCCCAGAATCTCACGTCCTTTGGGGGTTTAAAATATTTAAGAGAATTAAAAGATTTAAACGATTTAAAAGATTTAAATATTTAATTCTTTTAAATCTTTTAATTCTTCAGAGCTTTAAAAGATTTAAAAGATTTAAATGTTTAATTATTTTAAATCTTTTAATTCTTTTAAATCTTTTAATTCTCCAGGAAATCCTCCAACATAGGGTCGTCAGCTCACCGATTTATTTTAAATCTTTTAAATCTTTTAATTCCCAGCGCTTTTTAAAAGATTTAAACGATTTAAATATTATTTTTAAATCTTTTAATTTCCTCAGAGCTTTAAACGATTTAAATGATTTAATATTTAATTCTTCACAAATTCTTTTAATTCCCCAGAGCTTTAAAAGATTTAAAAAAAGATTTTTAAATCCCAAGAGGTCCCCAGAATCTCACGGTCCTTTGGGGATTAAAAATATTTTACTGTAAAAGAAATTAAAGAGTTAAAGATTTAAAAGATTTAAATATTTAATTCTTTTAAATCTTTTAATTCCCCAGAGCTTTAAAAGATTTAAAAAGATTTAAATATTTAATTCTTTTAAATCTTTTAATTCCCCAGAGCTTTAAACGATTTAAAAGATTTAAATATTTAATTCTTTTAAATCTTTTAATTCCCCAGAGCTTTAAAAGATTTAAAAGATTTAAATATTTAGTTCTTTTAAATCTTTTAATTCTTTTAAATCTTTTAAATCTTTGAAGTCTCCAGGAATCCTCCAACAATAGGGTCAGCTCACGATTTAAATCTTTTAAATCTTTTAATTCCCCAGAGCTTTAAAAGATTTCAAAGATTTATTTTTTTTTTAAAATCTTTTAACGAAGAGGAATTGCCAAAATCTGAAAATAATCCCCCCATCGCGAGAAAACCTCCCTCCCAGAGCTTAAAAGATTTAAATCCCAAGAGGTCCCAGAATCTCACGTCCTTTGGGATTACAATATTTTAAAAGATTTAAAAGATTTAAAAGATTTAAATATTTAATTCTTTTAAATCTTTTAATTCCCCAGAGCTTTAAAAGATTTAAAAGATTTAAATATTTAGTTCTTTTAAATCTTTTAATTCTTTTAAATCTTTTAAATCTTTGAAGTCTCCAGGAATCCTCCAACAATAGGGTCAGCTCACGATTTAAATCTTTTAAATCTTTTAATTCCCCAGAGCTTTAAAAGATTTCAAAGATTTATTTTTTTTTTAAAATCTTTTAATTCCTCAGAGCTTTAAAAGATTTAAAAGATTTAAATATTTAATTCTTTTAAATCTTTTAATTCTCCAGAGCTTTAATAGATTTAAAAGATTTAAATCCCAAGAGGTCCCCAGAATCTCACGTCCTTTGGGGATTTAAAATATTTAAAAGAATTAAAAGATTTAAAAGATTTAAAAGATTTAAATATTTAATTCTTTTAAATCTTTTAATTCCTCAGAGCTTTCAAAGATTTAAAAGATTTAATTATTTTAAATTTTTGAATTCTTTTAATTTTTTTAATTCTTTTAAATCTTTGAAGTCTCCAGGAATCCTCCAACAATAGGGTCAGCTCACGATTTAAATCTTTTAAATCTTTTAATTCCCCAGAGCTTTAAAAGATTTAAAAGATTTAAATATTTAATTCTTTTAAATCTTTTAATTCTCCAGAGCTTTAAAAGATTTAAATATTTAATTCTTTTAAATCTTTTACTTCTTCAGAGCTTTACAAGATTTAAAAGATTTAAATATTTAATTATTTTAAATCTTTTAATTCTTTTAATTCTTTGAAGTCTCCAGGAATCCTCCAACAATAGGGTCAGCTCACGATTTAAATCTTTTAAATCTTTTAATCCCCCAGAGCTTTAAAAGATTTAAAAGATTTAAATATTTAATTCTTTTAAATCTTTTAATTCCTCAGAGCTTTAAAAGATTTGAATATTTAATTCTTTTAAATCTTTTAATTCTCCAGAGCTTTAAAAGATTTAAACGATTTAAATCCCAAGAGGTCCCCAGAATCTCACGTCCTTTGGGGATTTAAAATAATTAAAAGAATTAAAAGATTTAAAAGATTTAAAAGATTTAAATATTTAATTCTTTTAAATCTTTTAATTCCTCAGAGCTTTAAAAGATTTAAAAGATTTAAATATTTAATTCTTTGAAATCTTTTAATTCCCCAGAGCTTTAAAAGATTTAAAAGATTTAAATATTTAATTCTTTTAAATCTTTTAAATCTTTGAAGTCTCCAGGAATCCTCCAACAATAGGGTCAGCTCACGATTTAAATCTTTTAAATCTTTTAATTCCCCAGAGCTTTAAAAGATTTAAAAGATTTAAATTTCAAATATTTAATTCTTTTAAATCTTTTAATTCCTCAGAGCTTTAAAAGATTTAAAAGATTTAAATATTTAATTCTTTTAAATCTTTTAATTCCTCAGAGCTTTAAAAGATTTAAAAGATTTAAATATTTAATTCTTTTAAATTTTTAATTCTCCAGAGCTTTAAAAGATTTAAAAGATTTAAATATTTAATTCTTTCAAATCTTTTAATTCTTCAGAGCTTTAAAAAATTTAAAAGATTTAAATATTTAATTCTTTTAAATCTTTTCATTCTTTTAAATCTTTTAATTCTTTTAAATCTTTGAAGTCTCCAGGAATCCTCCAACAATATGGTCAGCTCACGATTTAAATCTTTTAAATCTTTTAATTCTCCAGAGCTTTAAAAGATTTAAAAGATTTAAATATTTAATTCTTTTAAATCTTTTAATTCCCCAGAGCTTTAAACGATTTAAAAGATGTAAATCCCAAGAGGTCCCCAGAATCTCACGTCCTTTGGGGATTTCAAATATTTAAAAGAATTAAAAGATTTAAATAAATATTTAATTCTTTTAAATCTTTTAATTCCTCAGAGCTTTAAAAGATTTAAAAGATTTAAATATTTAATTCTTTTAAATCTTTTAATTCCCCAGAGCTTTAAAAGATTTAAAAAATATTTAATTCTTTTAAATCTTTTAATTCTTCAGAGCTTTAAAAGATTAAATATTTAATTATTTTAAATCTTTTAATTCTTTTAAATCTTTTAATTCTTTTAAATCTTTGAAGTCTCCAGGAATCCTCCAACAATAGGGTCAGCTCACGATTTAAATCTTTTAAATCTTTTAATTCCCCAGAGCTTTAACAGATTTAAAAGATTTAAATATTTAATTCTTTTAAATCTTTTAAT